ATATAAAACACTTAGTTGAAATAATTTTCAAATAAGTTTAACTAATATATCGCGTTTTAAACCGTTTAAGTGTTTTATTTAAATAGACAATATTTTTATTAAAAACAAATCAGCGCGTCTTACTTTTTTAATAATAGAGAAGGACAGACAAGCATGACGTACACTTGACGGTCGGTGCCATATCCCAGCCGTATAACATCTAAACAAGATGCGCTGTCGGCCTATTTTAGCCTTGGATATACGGAATCGGTATCACAGACTTAAACCGAAACGCGATTGATCTACACAACTATATCCGTGAACAGTGTTTCGTGACCCGGGCGAAATTTCGATATTCCATCCATTTAATTATCCAGTTGTCCAAAAGTACTTCGAAAAATTATATATTAATAATATATTGGGTAATCAAACCCGTTGATTATTAGCCACACAAAGCCACAATTATACTAACATTTCGCTAATAAAGGATTAAAGATGGCCTTGCAAATAATATAACAGCCTGTATATCACCTTATTCCAAGGAAACACACGAACGCCGGCGTTATTACTATTCGGTATGACGCACGCGTAAAAATAACATTACAATTATATACTTAAAATAAAATCTATACGACTATATAAAGCTGAAGAGTCTGTTTGTTTAAATAAAACACTTTAACGGTTTAAAACGCGATATATTTTAAACTTCGAATGCTTCCGAAGAGCACCCGAAACGTCGGGCCGTAGTTAAAAATAATTTTCAAACAAGTTTAACTACAATAAATCGCGTTTTAAACCGTTAATGTGTTTTATTTAAATGTGTACTACTCGCGTAAACTACAGACAGTATTTAGTTTGTTTGTTTATCTCAGTGTTGGTTAAATCATTTAACGAGGAGGGCTGTATGTTTGTATTTGAAAAAAAAATAAAAATATATTAGATAAATCTATTATTTAAGTAAATCCATTGATGTAGATATTATTATGTATTTATTTATTTAATTTTATTAATTATAACACCACTAGATAAAAAAGCTTATTAATAAAAGGCTAAAAAGCGATCTCTTCCAGGCAACCAAATGTGAAGATAGGATAAAAATAAAGGAGGAGAAATTTAAGTGCTAAAGAGCAATATTAAAATAAAACACGTTTATCGGCTTAAAACAGGGAAATATATTGAACTTATTTGTCATTGTGACCCGACGTTTCATGCGTTACAGCAGCCGTGGTCATGGGAGGAATACATTTCGAGTTTTAAATAATATTACTTGTACAACAGACAATAGTTGTGTAAAGCGGACACAGAAATGTGACCGCCCCATGCCCCAGTGGAGACGGGGATTCTCATTTGTGTTATATCTAGGTAACAGTTCTTGGCTGGGAACACTATAGAAGCGAAAGCGATCAATACAATATATTACGATAGAATAACTAAATTCAACCTTATTCTTGATAATAATAAGTGTTATTTTAGATTGTTCATACTAGAAAATTACGAAATTTTTGATTCGTTGCATAGAGATGTTGGTATTGATTTAATTATACGGATTTTAGTCTAATGAGCACGCGACGGACACAATTTTACGTCTGTTTCTATGATCGATTTTATTTCTTTGCTTTTATCTTTGTTACTGTTTTGTTTTTGATTGCAGGTACTTAGCTACAGAATTCAAACGCTGAGTCTTAGTTTTTAACATTATAAACACTATTAAAAGAAAACACTTTAACGGTTTAAAACGCGATATATTGTAGTTAAACTTGTTTGAAATTTTTTTTTAACTACGGGCCGACAGGCTACGGCTTTGCAGCAGCCGTGGTCACGGGGAGACCACTATAATAAACACTAGCTTTGTGAGCGACTTCGTCCGCCTTGTCTTGCATCTCTCATCTCTTCATCTTTATAGATTTAAGCTGTGACCCACGACGTCGGTCGCGTCCCGTCGTTCTTGATCTTAAAATATAGACAATATGTCCCGATCTTTTTTTCTTAGATCATTTACAGAGAAATCACTCTTTTATACTTATTTTGGGGGTACCTTAAACCCCTACATCTAAATATACAAAGATGGATAATCTTTCTCCGTTTTTTTTTTCACATTTCCCACAGTATCTTCTCGTACGTCTTTTCGCGGCGCAATCGTAACTTTATACCAGGTTATAGGCCTTCCTCGTTAAATGCTCTAAGCGAAGAAAATCGAATTTTTCAATTCGATCCAGCAGTTAGTTCCCGAGATTAGTGCGTTCAAACAAACTCTAAAGCTTTATACTATTAGTATAGATTTCGGGTTTTCAATCGGAAACTACAGACAATCTTTACAGAAATAATACACAAATATCGTCATAAGTATTAGTCTTGTAATTATTTAACAGCTCGACAAACAAGTTATATCTATAATATATAAGAAAGCGTTACTTTTGAACATTCTCACAAAATGCCAGCATAAATTGGACGTCCTATTCTGGAAAAACTCACTTCCTCGTTGTCGCCATAGTGACGATTGAAACTCGAATCGAGATCATACTAGAAAAGTTATTTTTATATCTAAACGATCGTTAATCATGAGCTATTTATAAAAATCCATTTTAACCGATTGAAAAGCGTTTTATTTTGGGTAATTTATTGCTATCGTGATGTACAAGTGATTTTAAAAACTATTGATATGAAAAGTAAGAAAAAAAATAATTTTTGTTTATCTTTGTATTAGACCCTATAAGTTTGTTACACTTGTCAACGGGTCTACATAATCTATGTATGGCCCATGTCTAAACATACGATAGTAATCTGTAATCGTTTTTAGGGTTACCTTACTAAAGATTAAATGTTCTGTCTGTCGGCAGAAACTGGATGCGAATAGTCGAGACTTGAATTTTTCATTTATTTGATATTTCTGTAGACTTAACAATATATTATATGTACTAAAAAAATAAAATATATATTTAGGGGGTGGCTACCGCAAAAAAATACAACATTTTGGCCTACTTTTGCATAATGAGGCACTTAAAAGTACTAAAAAGGTGACAGTGAATATGTGCAACTATTAACTACACTAAACAGAAGTAAGTAAGTGTGCCGAACCAGTTTGGACGGTTTTATTAAATAATATTTATCGCACTTTAACCATTTACAACGCGATATATATAAGATAAACGTTTTTTTAAAACGGCTTGACGTTTCGGCTGTCGAAGTTGGTATTTGGCGGAACAGATGGCGTTGGTATTGCATTTTTTTTTACTTTGACGTCAGTGACACCCTCCATCTTTAGTCTCCACGTGACCGCGGCTGCCGCCAAGCATCCGAAACGTTGGGCCGTAGTTAAAGTAATTTTCAAATAAGTTTAACTAATATATAGTGTTTTATGGAAATGTGTATTCGCGTAAACTACAGAAAGTATTTATTTTATCGGTTTTATTTCTCATCGTTTGATTATAATTGACTTTCTCTAATCCGGTATCGTCTTAACTCCTTGAAAGTATTACTAGAATTAAAACTATTAAATTGCCCTAGATATAAGATACTATGTCGTTCACAGAATAAGACCGCCGGCTGGTTACTTATTTGAAAGCAATTTTAGTTCCCCCTTCATTTAGAATGGGCCAGGGCTGTACTAGGACTGCGATAATTAAATATTGTACACAAAGGACTATTTTGCGATAGTCGTAGTCATTAAATAAAAATTATTTATGTAGGTAACTAGGTAGATGATTGAAATGGATTCTTACGTATATAAAAGATAAATACAGTTTTGTTATACATAATTTAATATACATATTTGAAAAAATGTGTGTATATACAGACTGACACCGAATTACTAACTATAAATTACTACAAGCGATTGTGTTGCTTGTTTACAACACAATATCACAGTGTTGCCATTGGAATTATTAAAATAAGTTAACTTAGATCTCCCTACCGTTGTTTCTCGCTATTGTCATTTTTAAAGCACTTAAAATAAAAATTGTTTGTCAAAAACAATCCTTGATAAGGAATTTCGTTTATGAAAGTTGTTTCATGTCATGATAATGGTAACGTAAACAGGGTTACGTGTACGTTCTACGATATTGGCCCTTCGTTGTAAAAGCGAGCTGACTTGGACCAATCCAATGGTAGCAACGGTCGGCAACGCGACCTGGGTCCAGCTCCCATCAAATATAACATGTTCCTGATCAATTTAAAGTTATTTTCTAAAAAAACGTCAGTTTTTGCATTTTATTCCCCTAATATTTAAAACTAAAATTAATTTTAAGCTATGTATATAATATCATCTTCGAGGATAGCTTTCTTGAAACTCATAGATTCCGCGATATCGATTTATAATAATAAATCTCCAATACGTCCCTGTGCCTTTCCCCCTCAACCCACCCCATGCGAATAATTCCACAGGGCCGTACTCGAGTGAGATTCGCTGTTAATTAATTATTAAGCCTTTAGTTAACTAGTGTTTGGATTACAAATTTGCAAAGCTAGTTATGGCTTTTGTATCTGAAGTCGAAGTATCGTATTTTTTAGATGTAAACTTTTACGGCACGACGTTTCCAATAGCAGTAGCCGTGGCCGAGTTCAACTCAAGTAGATCGCGTTTTAATCCGTTAAAGTGTTTTATTTAAATGTGTACCTTACGTTAGACGGGATTGTTGGTATATAGTAGCCATGTATGGCAAACGCGTCGTGGGTTCAAAATGTTTTTTTATCATATTATAATTTTCCTGCAACTTCTTCAGGAAATCTGGATATTAAGTGGGGCCTGAACCATCATTCATTGGTAAAGTTTCATCGCTGTTCGTTCTCAGTCTTTGGATTTCCGAACATCAAACCTAAATTAAATCAATAGCGCATGTTGTGTTTTATAGCCATAAAAGGCGTATTTCATTTAGCATCAAGTAAACCATTTACTTGTCTGTCATAATAAAACCATAACGCGTTACGTAACGAAACGTTATAACCTCGTTCTTTTAAAATACATTCACTGTTCCACAAATTCCACAATTCTCGAAACTCTTATTCAAAGAACGATTTTTTTCCAGGATGAGGTCCTAGCAATCAATGATAAGGTGGTACTTCGGGCGGAGGATCTGCTGTCCTGGGTGTGCAATGGTAGCGATTGGCGGTGGGGGCTTCGCGCCGTCTGGAAAGGGTCCTGCGCCCCCCCGGCGGAGGCCAAGCCATCGATGGCCCTTCATCACACCAAGTTGGACTTCAGCGATATTGAGAAAGAGAAGAGTTCCATAAGTGAGTTTCAGGAACGACAGAAGTTTGTAACGAAAATAAAAAGCACTTTTAACTGTTTAAAACGCAAATTATATTAGTTTATTTGTATGCTATCTGCGATCAATACTGCCGCAAAGCATACGAGGCGTCAGGTCATAGTTAGAAAGAAGTTTTCATCGCAGCCATATGACATCTAAACTGCGCTGTCGATATATTTTGGCTTTGGATATTCGGAAATCCACGGATTGAAAAGGAGAAACCTAAACGCGATTAACTTAACGGCGGCTTTTGTCTGTCTCGTTCGTGTCCATTTAATATCCAGATTTCCAAACGGAGTCCGACATGTTTTAAAGAAATAAAAATGTTGTTTTCGGTGGGGATCGAACCCGTTGCATTGCTACCGTTATATTAATAAAATACTCCCGACCTCATCTGTAACTACATGGTTAATTGACTAGCATTGCGTTGGATTCGAATCTCGGGGAAATAATAGACCGGTTCTGTCTGGCGGGGCTTCGAAGTCTGATCAACTTGGATATAAAACGAACTAGTTAAATGGAAACAGAAAGGTGTTCACGCATATCATTGTTTTTCGGGCTGTTCGGCCGACGTGAGCGAGAAGAGGTTCCCGACGTTTCGCCATCACGCGCGGACATCATCAGGAGATGTTAGTTCCTCGATTGCTCGAAGAATTAATCTGATAAGATCCTCTTCTCGCTTACACAATTTATAAGGTCTAAAATTCTGATAAAATGTTCCAGCTGTAGACGTCGATAGTCCAGGTGTGGTGGTGTTCTCGTACCCTCGCTACTGCAGGTATAGAGCGCTGTTGGCTCGCCTGGAGGGGATCGAAGCTGATTGGCTCCGGGACTCTTTAGTGGCGGCCCTGGGGGGTTACGCCGCCCCAACCAATAATACCAGGATACTGTACTGTAAGGTAAGAGAGGAACATGTGAGAACTTTCATCAGTGTCCCATGAAAATATCTCAAACTCATAATTCCATTCCGCACTTTAACTGTTTAAAACACGATATATATTACAATACGACCCGACTTTAACATACATTTAAAGAGCACCTAATTAAGATTCAACAAAAACCCGTTTAAATAAAACACTTTAACGGTTTAAAACGCGATATATATTAACTTATTGGAAAATTATCTTTAACCACGACTTGTCCCCCGTGACCACGGCTGCTGCAAAGCATCCGAAACGACGTTAAACTAATTACTGATTAATAGTTAAAATATTTTTTTCAAATAAGTTTAAGTAATATAGATCGCGTTTTGAACCGTTAAAGTGTTTATTTAAACAGTTGTTTAATTGAATCTTAATGAAATGATTTCATAAAGGATATATTTTAAGAAGCCTTGTGCATATTTAATTTAATTAAATTTAGTATAAATTAGTACTTCTGTTTGTCTGTCAATTGAATACTTACTTAATTATTTTTTTATGTAAAAGTTTCTAGAAGACCATAAGAATGACATATAAACTTAAGCCACGATCTATTTTGGCTTTGACATTACAAGCCACTAAAATAGATGAAATAATGTTTTCAGGACACATTTGAATACCCGGAGCTAGAAGGCCACGAGTTTGTCTGCAACCACCTGGCGCCGAAGCTCAAGGGGCGACCGCGTGGTCGGAGAAGGGCGCGGCCCCGGTCACGTGATCGCGACCACGATCCCGACGGCGACCACGACTCGCGGTCGAGCGACAGCGACGCTCTACCGCCTCCGGAACCAAGAGTGAGTACTTCTGGAGTCCCATAACCCCTGCGTGGGGTTTGGGCAAATACAGAGCTGTTTGATTCTTTTATAGATTGCTAGCGACCCGCCTCGGCTTCGCTGTGCGGTGCCATACTTTTAAATCACTATATATATAAAAACCGCATCAAAATCTGTTGCGTAGTTTGAAAGATTTAAGCCTACATACGGACAAAAAAGCGACTTTGTTTTATACTATGTAGTGATATGTATAGGCCGGTAGCAAGTTTTTCCAGTACTCGAATTCACGACCGTGCTTGGTTTGCTTATTTAAATAAGGTACGGAAGACAAACAAGCATATAACTCACTTGAAGAATGGTAAAATAGTGTAGCCATAAAACATCTGAACAAGATGTGTTGTCGACCCATTTTTGTCTTTGAAATTCGGAAATCTATATACCGAAACCGAATCGTTAAAATGAATAGTGTTCCGTCTAGTGATTACAATACCCCCATATAATATCCAGATCTTCCAATTCTGGAATCGAAGCCACGACCCACTGATTGTGTAGTTAAAATTTATTAGCATGTCAGTTTATTAATTACAAAATACTTAATCTTTCAGATACCTCGCCGGGTCTCGTTACGTATAGGAAAGGAGAAGTTGAGCGAAGAAGAAGAGGAAGAACTGAGAAAGAAGGAGAAAGAGAAGGACATGGAATTCGAGGAGAAGTTGAGGGAGTTCTACAAGGAGGACGCGAAATTTCTCAACGACAAGTATAAAAAGAGTAAGATATTTGTATTTACTTGCAAGAACACGGTAGCTCAATTGGTTAGTCATTAGTGCAACAGCACGGGACGCCGTGGGTGCCGGTTCGAGTCCCGCCCGTGCAGTTAATTTTTGATTTCCAAGAGCGAGTCTTATGTTTAATATTTTAGTAATGTCTGTGTAAGTTTACGCGAGTAGTTCGCATTTAAATAAACTTTTTAAACGGTTTAAAACGTGTAATTTTTCAGTTAACTCATTACTACGTTTCGACGTTTCGGATGCTTTGTGGCCGTTAAATTGTAAAGAACTGGTACATTCCACGTTTTAAACCGTTAAAAGTGACTTAATGAAGAATAAAAAATTTTGCCCAAATGTATACTTATTTTTTACCGCTATTTGACGTTTCGGATGTTTTGCAGCTGTTAGAATGAATTCAGTAAATTAGTGATAAGACTCAATAGTAATTTTTATTTCACGTTTTAAACTGTCGAAAGTTAGTCTCCCCGTGACCACGGCTGCTGCAAAGCATTAGAAACGTCGGGCCGAAGCTAAAAATCATTTTCAAATAAGTTTAACTAATATATCGCGTTTTAAACCGTTAAAGTGTTTTATTTAACTGTCGAAAGTTGTTTGTTGAGTCTTAATCTGTCAATGTCTGTATATTTTGACTTATATAAATAAATGTCTTTACTTGTATGTAAAAGTATTTTTTTATTATACTAGAGAATGACATACAAACAAGCCTTCGAGAAATATACAGCTTTATAACATCCCAACGATACCTATTGTAGCCTCTGACATTATAAGCTTCTAAACTAGGTTAAATAACGTTTTCAGGACGCACTTGAATACCCACAGTTAGAAGAAACTGTGAACAACCGATACGTTTCGCGTTTTAAACCGTTAAAAGTGTTTTAATTGTATTTGTTTTTTTTTGTTTCAGTTTCCCTACGCAAATTGTACTATTCCGTCCGTTCTTATGGCGGCTATGAAACAATATGCAGAGCGCGCATTTGGTATCTTCTGTACGAACAATCCGGAGTGGCTCTTAAAGCCAGGAAACTGTATGAAAGGTAATCAAACAGCACCATTTCACACACAAATATAAAAATCTATATATCTATACTTCTATACTAGTGTTATAAATGCGAAAGTAACTATGTCTCTCTGTCCGCCCGGCTTTAACTCGTAACTACTGAATTGATTTCAATGAAATTTGGTACACAGATATTTTTGATACATGAGACACTTAGAAATTCGTTGTTTTTGAAGCTAGAACAATGAAACTTTCTTCTTTGGCTTTTTGAGAATGGCCGTGGGCGTGGTCGTGGGATTAGGCGTGGGCTTGGTTATGGGAGTGAGAGAGAGTGTAAGGATGAGAGTGGGAGTTAGAGTAGTAGTGATGTGAGGTGAGAGTGTTGCGGCAAAGTAGCACTAACAACATAGATTGGCTGCCTTAAATGCGCCCTTACATAAATTAATATATAGACTCAATGATTAAAAACTACCCCAAGTCACTATTCCACGCGGACGAAGTCGCGGGCACAGTTAACACTAATATATAACGCTGAATAATTTGATTGAACGCGCTAATTTCAAGAACTACTAGTTCGAATTGAAAAAATTCTTTAAATAAAAATTTAACGGTTTAAAACGCGATATATTAGTTAAACTTATTTGAGGAGATCCCTAACCTCTCAAAATCAAATCGGGCAATTAAAAATAATTTTCTAATAATTAAATATGCGTTTTAAAAAAGTTGAAAATTTATACTCCAAACTAGACAGTATTTGAAAAATTTGTGCCGGTCAGAGAATTTATCGAGGAAGGCTATAGACTAGAAAACATCGCGCTGTGACTAATACAAGCGAAGATGCAGCGAGACAGCGAATGTGACAAAAGTTTGGGAAAATTATTCATGATTATGGGTTTTCGAGCTAGTACGCTGCGAAAACGGTTCAAGATACCCAAAAAAAAAAATGTATGAAAGAATGATGCTTTCTTTAATTATCTAAAAAAATCTAGCACTCAATGTTTATCTTTCAAGATTAACTTGCAACGAAAGGATGCAACCGACGTCGTAGGTGACAGCTTAAATTTTTGAGTTGATTAACTATAAATAATATTGCAGATACCTCCTCCCCCTCGAGAAACACCAGCGCAGACTCAACCCGAAGCTCTTCGGCACGAAGCTGAACGGCAAAATAGACGAACCAAAAACCATAGACACGATAGACGTCACAGACTCCCCCCTCCGGGAAATAGACAATAAATCTGACAAGCCAGAGAAACGCCTGCGCACGCCATCGCCGAAGAGCAAGATCCTCTTGGACAACGAGACCGGGGAACTGCTCAAAGAGGAAATAGATATAACTTCGAAACCGGCTGAAGAGTTGAATAGGGAATTCCTGGAGTCACTCACGAAAGAGAAAGAGATGGACGGGAAGGAGATGGAGGGAGAGAGGGGGAAGATATCGGTGAAGCCGGTGGAGAAATTGATCGAGCCGGCCTTCGCGGAGGTGAAGGATGAGATGAAGATGATGGAACTGCCGCAGAAGTTGCATTTAGGTGAGTAAATGTAACCTGTAACCAATTGGTTAAACGTTTGGCCTAGCTTTGCGTTAAACGCAAGAGGTCCTGGGTTCGAATCCCAGGGAAACATAAAATTGTTTCGGTCGGGCAGGGCACAGAAGTCTGATCAACTACTTGCCCCGTGCCCTAAAAGAACGGAGCAATGAAACGGACACAGAGATGTTTTTTCCCCCCCCCCCCCAGGGGGAAACGGGCTTTCACTTTTTTTTAGAACATACATTAAAACATGTGCAAATAAAAAATATTTGTACAAAGGTGGCCTTATCGCTTAGGGCGATTTCTATTCCAGGCAACCTTTGCATACGGAAAATACAGCGGAGAAGAAATAATCTAAGACTGTCTAAGTTTACGAGTAGTACACATTTAAATAAAACTTAACGGTTTAAAACGTTATATTTAAGGTAAACTTGTTTGAGAATTATGTTAATACTACAAAAATTTTAACTAAAATATATCGCGTTTTAACGTTAAATGTTTTATTTAAAAGTTGACATTTGCTTCTTTACTGTAATTTTGTCTCCCCGTGACCACGGCTGCTGCAAAGCATCCGTAACGTCGGGCCGAAGTTAAAAATAATCTTCAAATAAGTTTAACTAACTAATACATCGCGTTTTAAACCGTTAAATTATTGTATTAAAATACTACTCGCGTAAAGCACAGACAAAACTAAGCTAACTGATCTATCGGACACAGAAATATGTCTGTGTTTAAAGTAGATTACGACTGCTCTAAATATTTTTCACTAAAATAAAATAGAATATAGTCAATGATGTAGCGTTACGTTAAGCATGCCAAGTTCTGAGTTCGAATTCTTGTAAAAGAATAAAAATGATTTCGGTCGAGTATAGCACAGAAGTCTGTTTACCTACTTGTCTGTAATAAAATCGATCAAAGCAAAAGGGCACGGACATGCTTTCGTCCCCATTCCCCACTTTTTAATGTCCCGTTTAGTTATTAATTAGTAATTAATTTACATTAATATTTCCTTTTTCTAAACAGGCAACACAGACACTACGATACTAAAAGAGTTGTCGGATGCACAGAGCAATATCGCCAGTAACGCGCTCAACAGTTTATCCTCGCTCAGTGAGAAATATGCGGTCAACGGACACAGTTCCGTGGCCGCCCCGCCCGTTGATCAGGTGAGATGACATTTTTTTTTATTTTGAGAGGACGGCGGTCACTCGATGGTAGATGAAACACTCCAGTCATAAAATATTTAAAAACGATGTAGTACCGACCTATGATTGGACTTTGGAATATTGGAAATCCAATCGAAGCCGAAACGCGATTAAATTTCACGCCTTTTTCGTCTGAGGACGTAAGTTCGTGACCTGGACGGAATTCCGATCTTTCTACCACCCTTTTATCCAGAATTCCAGACGAAGGCCCAGCATGTTGCAAAAAGAAAATAATGTATTCAAGAAAGACGTTGTACTCTAGCATTAATCTACGATCCTTGGATTATGAGAAAAGTCAGAAAAGAAAAATTTATGCAGAAGGACTAAAGCTATAGCACATCGTTTTAAATGTTACATGGCCGAAGTATTTTATCTACCAACAAGTAGAAAAAACATAGCATAGACCCCGAATAATAATTTTCTATGTAATTGAGTTATTGTAATTTATATATCCTAATACTAGCTGTGTCAGCGACTTCGTCCGCGAGATAGCTTTTGGTGCACCCAAATTCGTTTTTCATAATCCCTTCATCTTCTTAACCTACGACGTCCTGGTTACTCCTGTCGTTCTTGCAAGTTAACCTTCAAAGATAGATATATAGCGTCGCGGCCTTTTTTTAGATCATTAAAAGAGGAATCATTTCTTGATACATATTTTTTGGGTATCTTGAACCGTTTCCGCAACGCACGCAACAAAACCCTAGAGTGGATAGGGTGGCATCTTCCCCATTATCCACTGTTTCTTGGCTCCTATTCGTCGCACTGTATATTTCCTCCTCCTGTCTTCCTCGATAAAAGCTCTAACAAACACAAAAAAAACGTTTTAATACGAACCAGTAGTTCTTCAGATTAGCGCGTGCGAACAAACAAACTCTCCAGCTTTATATATTAGTATGTATTATAATATTTAACTATTCTTGTAGCAAAAGTCGCGCCCAGTCGGACGAAGTTCCCTTCGAGCTGTGAGGGTGAAGCCAACAAGACCTCAACTTCCGTCTAACACACGTAAGTATGATAATGTAACAAATCTATAGAACTATAGCATCGCCTTCATGTAAATAAAACCCATTTAACGGTTTAAAACGAGAAATTAACCACGTAACTACGACACATTCACGTCACATTTTGCAGTATAACCTGTTACGTGTGTTAAGTCGTATTTGTCATTTACACGAGTAGTAGAGATTTAAATAAAACCGCATTAACGGTTTAAAATTCGAAATGTTCGTGACGTGTCAGATGCTTTGCAAATGGCCAAAATTAATTTTTAATAAGTTGAACGTTAAAAATGTTTAATCTAAAACTTTAACGGTTTAAATTGCGAAATATATTAGGTAACTTGCAGTCTGTTCTGTAAGGACTCTGTTAGCTTGCTTAAATAAAAATACTACAGATGGCGCTAGCGTAGCAGATTTGACTTTGACATTAGGGACACCTTCCATCCTCAGTCACTCCGTGACCACGACTGTGGCAAAGCTTAGTCTTAGTAAAATATTTCGCATTTTAAACCGTCAAAATTATTTATTTTGACGTTCTCTTTTTTTAGCAAGAATAACCTTTATAACACTTTTGTTACAGCCCCACAACCGTCGTCGATCACTGAGTCTTCGCCCCCACCACCGATGCCCCTCAACTTCGGCATTCACCACCCCCCTGCCCCGACGCCCCACACCGTATCTCTCCAGTCGCATGGGACCAAGACCCACACGGGACACCATAGCGATGATGAAATTGTTGAGGTAAATGACAATTGTAATTTTTGTATTTTATGTAAATTATAAAGAATAAATAGTTACAAAATAAATTAAAATTTATTAATACTTTATAATTAAAAAAAAAAAAACTTTTTTTTGTATAATTAATTCGGACAATTACAAGTTTAAAATTCAGTGTGTATGTTAAATAAAACACTTTTAACGGATTAAAACGCGAAATATATTTAACTTGTAAAAATACATCGTTAATAAGTTTAGTAACATTAAAACACTTGTAATGAATTTAAAAAGTAACATACAGTCAAAATAAATTGTAAATAATATATTTCGCGTTTTAAACTGTCGAGATTTTTATATAAATTAATTTATTGCTATAAAAATGATAATATTAGCTCCATTTACCAAGATATTATTGTATTGACTCACATATGAGCAGTAACCATACTACTATCTATTAGATTTAGAATTCGTTAGGACTGCCACGCATCGTCGCGATAAAGAAATTTACTTGCTTTTAGCAAACACTGCGCTGTAGAAACGGGGCAACCTCGACAAAACTCTCAATGTGTTATTGTATAATCAATGTTTTTCTTTCCAGATCCCATATAAACCAAAAACACCTGAAATAATAGACCTGGACGAATACCCAGAGAGTCCGCAAGGTCTTAAAAAGAAAAAGCTAGAGATCCTCAAAGAGAGGGGGCTAGAAGTAACCGCCATACCCCCAACCCCAATGTGGCCCCAAGCTCTAGGAGCACCAATAGCACCGCTCATCAACCCCGCCCCCATAATTTTGAACCCAGCGGTGCAACACCAAATAATGACCCAGGCGCAGCTATTCCAAATGTACAATATTATACCCCCCAATTACAACAACGGAGTCATTCCCCCCAAAGTTATCCAAGCGACCAGCGCTTTCGGCACTTCGGGTCCGGAGAAAACTGTCTACGGCAACCCTAAAGACCCTTTCATGCCGCCCCCCCCATGTGCTACAAGGCACCCCCATCAAACCCCAAAGAAGTATTCCCCCCGTCACCGGTCCCACTCCACAGGATATTCTGGATCTCACATGCAAAACGGAATCGCCCCCCCTACAGAAACCGGCAGTGGAAATAGTGAGAGTGCCCCCCCCAGTCCCCCCTCGAAGCCCCCCACTCCGCAAAACCTATCCAAGAACTATACTCTGGTTGATGGCAAGGCAGTCGTAGGTTCGAATTTAGAAATCACACTAGTTAACCCAAAAACGCCGACACCGCAAAAGCGGCCGCCGCAGAAGCGCTCGTCGAACGGCAAATTTATCTCGACAAAGACGCCCACACCCCCCAAAGATTACCCAAAGCCGTACCCGCCGCCGTCGCCCTCGGGGGCCAAGAAGCCGCCAATAGTCATCCCCAACTATCAGATATCGCGGGACGACGTGTCGCCCACCAGTTCCACGGGGTCGAAAGAGTCCCAGCCCGGCGCCCCCAATTTGCTTGCCAACGTGTTCAAGGGTCAGAACTTGACGCAGATGATGGATATGCAGAAGGCGGTCCCCTTGACCCCCTTCATGGACCCGATGTACATGAACGCATTCTACAGCAGCCTAAGCCAGATGGATCAGCGCCAGCTGGCTATGTATCGCGACTTCATGGCGAACCAATTCAGAGGTTATACAGGTTTGTTAAACATAGGAACGCCGACAACGAAGAATTAGTTAATCTAGTCTTAAAGCGAATTTGCGTTATGTTCTCTGTTAGGCTGCGGTCCTATTGTAACGTTAGTTAAAAGTTGCATTTTTAACGGTTGAACACGGTTTGTTGGTACGACGCTATGTTTTCCAGCAGTTATAAGTGGAATTTCGCGCTCTAAGTATACTAAAAGTTATTTTTAACGGTGTTGATTTATTACTTCATGTTTTGCAGCAGTTAGAAGTAAAATTTCGTGTACTAAACCGTTAAAAGTGTTTTTTAAAATATTTTGTCACGTTAGCTGAAAGTTACATTTTTGGCAGTTTAAAATGTTCGTTGCCTTAATGACGTCATTTTTAGCAGCATTTATAAGTAAAATGACGCGTTTTAAACCGTTAAAATGTTCTTAAAGCAGTTTCACGCGAACATTTTCGTTTTAGAGGACTTCGGATTTGGAAAGAAACCAATAATATTGTTTTTATTATTTGAAACTGTTCGCTTAGGTTCCTACCTCGTGTATTTTTTATTTTAAGCAGCTTTTATTTTTTTGTTTTTTATGTTTTATTTTGACTCATAACGCAAATTTTGAATGTGATATATAAATGTGTGTTCCGATCTCTTTATCGTTGTTTTTCGAAGCGATCGATGTTTTACCGATATTCCAATTGTAAATAATTTTTTGTAAATAACGGTATTTTTTCCTCGAATCTACCAATGGGGATACAGTTTTATATTTCGGAGAAACGCGAGCCGGATTCTCTAACGAAGGGTTCCGTAGAAGCGATGGCGGCTTCTACACTGAGGCTGCTAGAGCCAGAGTGACCTAATAACAACAAACATGATTTTATGATATCAAAAGGAAGGGAGGAAAATAAAAATGCACAATTATTGTAGATTAACATTTTTAGACGATAAAAATATGAAGAACCCAAGTCATAACGTTGCAGTTAGGCCGCTCTGCCTTATTTGTATGTTACCGTTGAAGAATCGGAGAATTTTCAAAATGGCGCTAGGAATTGACATGCCATCCCTTTCTTTCGTATGGCGTTAAAAAGAGACATATGTTCCCCCTTGGGTAGACGTTTAGTTGAATTATTAGTTAGGTTAGAATAATGTTGTTCTTAGGGTAATTTTTTAAATTCGCAATTGTAAATATTGCAAACACTGACATCTGTTGGCGACGAAACGCCAGTCAGTAATTCGCTGTACAAAATAAAGTTATTGAAAACGTGTTTTGTTCTTTTTTTTACCTGCACGTTTTAATAAAACGGTTTAATACGCGATATATATTAGTGGAACTTATTTGAAAATTATTTTTACTACGGCTAGACGTTTCGAATGCTTTACAGGAGCCGTAGTCACGGGGAGACAAAATAAATTTTCAAATAAGTTTACCTAACGTATTTCGCGTTTTAAACCGTTTTTTATACTTATTTATTCATTATCTAAGTAAGAAATTGAACGGTCGCTTTAAGACGTAGCAATGTATGGTAAATAATCGGGTCGGGAGTTCGATCCCCACCGGGTCCAATATGCTTCTAAACAATTTGACTCTAAAACATGTTGGAACTCTGGAAATCAGGATATTAAATGAGTGACAGGAATATCGAAATTCCGTCCAGGAAACACCGTCCACAGTTTCAGTCTTTGTATTTCTGACTGAACAAAGGCGTTATAAGTCGACAACGCACCATGCTGAAGTGTTATAACGCAAGCTTCCACGTTTTATAGGATAAGCCTTCGATAAAATGGTTTATCAAACACCAATGTTTAAATTTTCAACAAGACAACCATCGTCTTTAAACTAACTCTTCGGCTTTATAATATTAGCAAAGGGGGGGGGGGGGGAACATAAACGAAAGATCGTTAAGAAATATTTCTTTAATTTACAATCACATTTCAACACTTGAATTTATTCAAAATAGAATATTTCTGGTTCATCATCATCTGGTTTAAGGGGTATTTGGGACCCAATTGGGTCTTTAGGGAATTTAACTAATTTGGGAGGACACGGTTTTCGTCACTTAGAAATGAAATATTTCATTTACATCATTGGTATTAGTGTCGTGAATAAGAATAGATATTTTTATGCATGGGGCTAAGTAAGACTAATATTAAAATTGAATTCTCAATATATAAGTGCGTACATGTTGCATTTACGCCCCCCCCCCTACCAAAAAAAAGAAAAAACTTAATTGAGCTGAACGGTTTCTAAATCAGCAATCTTTACAAATTGAAAGAACCGTGCCCCCCACAATAACTGTCAAATCACTAAATCCAGCTTCCAGACAACTTTACCCTCTCCCCCACTTAGGGGCATCTTCCCTTGCGGGTCCAGTTCTATCACTCTTTATCAAGATCTATGGCTCGTCCACAGATCCCAGTACTGCGCCACTATACGCCAGGTCCCAATAATGTTCGACTTTGTGCTTCTGGAACAATTCTCTCGCTTGCTTCTCCGTTGGCATAACCTGGAAATGACAAGAGATGTTAGGGAAAGACAAGTACTCGCTTTTGTGGAGCTTCGGGCCAAAAATGGACGTGGAATATCGTTTAGAGCATATTAACAAGCTTTTTTTTCGTTAAATAAATAAAGTTCCATCTGTTAACACTAATAAATGTTCGCGTTTTAAACCGTTAATAATGTTTTATTAAAATTTGCATTGCTCACGTAGACAATATTGACCTCGTTATTATTCTAGTTATTATATTATATATCATTTTAATTATAGTTCTCTCTTATGTCAAAATCAAATGTGGTAAAGCGCCATCTGTTAGCGCGCTTAAACCGAGTTTAAACCATTAAAAGTTGTATTTATATAATTGCCGGCAATACTCTTTGTTCTATTCAATTGCGCTATTATGACGTTTTTCTTACCTTGAACTTGATGTCGCCGAAAGAGCGCCCCGCGGTCGTCCCCTCCCACACCAACTGACAGCTGTTAGGAGCTTCGGTGCCGTCGGAATCCTTGATCGTCTCCTCCTCCCACTTGATACGGTGCAGCATCAATCTGAAGATAGATACGTGAAACTGAACAAGATGTGTTGTCGAGCTATTTTGGCTTTGGATATTCTGAGCACGGACTGCAACCGAAACGCGAGGCTTTTAATCAGCGGACTGTGGTTAGTGACCCGAACGGGATTTAGATGATCCTACCATCCACTTACTTAATATCCAGATATCCGAAGTCCACCATCTTTTAAAACAGCCGTAGTAGTAGACATTGAGTAAAAGAATGACACAGGCGGGACTGGAACCCACACCTGACAGCGTACTTTGGCGTGACTTGTTAAATCGAAGTGGATAAGTGTTTTATTGACAAATATATTAAAATTGGTTCCCAAAGAGGGGGGATGGGTCGAATCTCAATAGCTTCACGTGACGGCTAACATATTGATTTTGAATGTGGGAAAAAAAAATTCGGTCGGGCAGGGCACATAAGTCTAAACTATTTACCTGTAAACAAAATCAATCAGGAAAACAAAAAAAAATATTTAAAGAGATATGTTTATCGAACTAAAAAAAAAGTAAAATGTATTTATCTCAATCAACCCCCACCTTTTATACTTGGCGTGCTGCTTCGGCCCCCCCTCCACGACGACAACGCAGCAGCCCCGATGCAGCACGACGCACCCGGTCATGTGCAGCTGCTGAGCGTTCACCTCCACCTTGAACTTGGCGGACGCACACTCGAACAGATCCTTGATCCTGGAAGAAGAGTCAGGGGTTACCAAACGTAATATTAGCGGTTCACTAAAATATACTGTGAGAGAAGATTCGGTTTAGATTAGCCAAGAAGTCACATAATATTTTTTATTAAAATAAATATTTTAACGGTCTAAAACACAAAATATACTGTCTGCAGTTTACACGAGTAGTACACATTTAAATAAAACATTAGTTACTTTTTGAATATTATTTTAACTAACGCCCGACGTTTCGGATGCTTCGCGGCAGTCTCCACGTGACCACGGCTGCCGCAAAGCATCCAAAACGTCGGGCCGTAGTTAAAGAAATTTTCAAACAATTTCAACTAAAATATATCGCGTTTTAAACCGTTAGTGTTTTATTTCAACACAAAAATATTGTACAATTCGAACTAGTAGTTTCTGAGATTGGCGCGTTCAAACAAACAAAACAAAGTCTTCCATTGTAATTAACAATATACATAGCTTTGAACCCTGAAATTTAGAACGCCTCATCGCTTTTCGTCAACACCCCCCCCCCCGTGAAGTGACGTAACTTACGGTTGTATGTAAAATTACTGATGACGTCACAACTATGACGTCACGCAATGTTTACACAAATGGCGACCACAATATTCCGGCTAGCGCAATCTGTATCCTCAACTTATCGATGAGTAATTTAATTTAATTATTAATTAACTTACAATTCTATTAATTAGATTTATTAATACAAACAAAATATGGTAGCCTCGAGAATTAATATGGTATCTGTAAATAGTTAAACATTGCCTAGGACGGGAGGTCTCGGGTTCGAATCCCGGACATGTAATTTTTTATCAATACTAACCTGTACACGGCCACGTGCACTCCCATCGTAGTGTCTTCGCGAATTTTTCTATCGACCTGTAAATTAAATGTCATTAAAATATTTACAATACAGACATAATTTCTAATGTCTAAGTATTGTCTGTAAATTGCGCGAGTAAAACGGTTAAAAACACGATATATATTAGTGAAATTTATTTGGAATTTATTTTTGTCAACGCGTGACCACAGCTGCAAAGCATCCGAAACATCGGGCCGTAGTTAATAAAATTTTCAAATAAGTTTAACTAATATATCGCGTTTTAACCCGTTACACCGTTTTATTTAAATTCGATATTAGCATTTAATAAACGGAATTGTCCAACATGTTCCCTAAATATCGTGAACACGTTTGGACCCGCCGGGAATCAAATCTATACCGACTTACCTTCTCCCGTTTTTGCTCCTTAGTCAACGCCCTCGCTTTGTTCGCTTCCTGGTGGGTCTTTTGTCGCTTCGCGATCTGCTCTCGAACTTTCGCCTCGATCGCTGTCGGGTCTTGCACTGCCTCTGTGCCTAGGGCTCGCATCAGATTCGATATCCTATTGGGGCACGATTTAAATTATTTAAAGGATAATTATTTGGGTTATCATGACCCGTTTTCCCCTTATTCCCCGTATATTCCACATTCCCCACCGTCCCTGCGCTCCTATTGGTCGCAGCCTGTTTTATAGCCCAAAACCCCTCCTCAAAAATTCCATTAGAACCGAACCAGTAGTTCTTGAGATCGGCGCGTTCAAACAATCAAACTCTTCGGTTTATGTAAACGTTCCTTATGTAAATTAGGTTTAATATAATTTAGTTACAATACTTAATTTTTGCATAAAACACTTATAACGGTTTAAAACGCGAAAAACAGCACCGGCGAATACACTATATTATTGTGTTAGTTGCAATGTTTATCGAGGAAGGCTTGAGGCTATACAATGCTATTCTGCCTCAAATAGGAGCAGAAATAGGGGGGGATGTGGAAGAAAAGGGGGAAAATTGTGCAACTTTGAGGGTTTCCGAGGCGTACGCTGCATATATGTATGAGAGAATTATTCCTCTTTAAAGAATGTAAAAAAATGTACGCTATATGTCTATCAATCAACCCCGACGGGACAGGACGATGCGGAGGGGTTTATGTGGAGGTCTCAAAAAAATTCTACGTATACGAAGTCGCTGCCACAGCTAGTTAAATAGATGTTTCGTGTTTTAAACCGTTAAAACAGATTTAATTTAAATTCAGTTAGCAAATAGTGTTTAGTATCTTAAATTGTTAATATACCTCAATTTAGGCTCGGGCGGCGCTTCTAAGCCGAGTCGCACCTTCTCTTGTTCTTCTTTCCACGCCTCTCTTCTGCTCTGTCTTCTCAGCTTCTTCCTCTCCTTCTTGGTCAAGAACACCGGCATGTAAGTGGGTTTCAGCGGTTCCGCTGAAAAATAAAATTGGTAAAAACCATTAATTATTAGACCATATAAGTATCTAAATAATGTACTTCATTTGGAAATCTGAATGGGTGGTGGGAATATCGAAAATTCGGTCCACAGATAAAAAAGGCAAGTTTAGTCGCGTATCGGTTTAAGTCTGCGGATCTCCGAATATCCAAAGCCAAAATAGAGTCTTGTAACGAACTTGGTCGCCATTATTGTCTGTCGTTTACGCGAGTATTACACATTAAAATAAAGCACATTCAACGGTTTAAAACAAATAACGTAATATGTTATTACTTATAATACCTCGGTGGCTACGGCTACTACAACGCGTCCGAGACTTCGCGGCGTAGTTAAAATAAATTGATAATAAGTTATGTAATATATTTCGAGTTTCAAACAGTTGAAATTGTTTTAAATCGCCTCTATTATTTCGAAGTCATTATTCTTTAGCTATTATTACAAAAAAACATCGTTGTCTAAAAGGATATGAATGTATAAAATTTTGTCATTTAATTTAGTTTACAATTTAATTGCTTAAATGCTGTTACATCACATTTTCGTAGAGATCTTAAATACGAATTCAGGACAAAATGTCCGGCGTGTGATACTAATGATTTTCAAGAAGTCCAAAATTCGAATCTTTTCTTATTTTATAAATGCGAAAGTTTTTTTGTTTTTTTTTTTTTTTTTTCCCCCCCTTAACTCCGGAATTTAACTGATTTAAAACTCAAATGTGGTACACAGACATTTTAGAGCCTGGGAAAGGACAAAATTTTTTTTTCCCCAAAAGGGGGTTGGAAGGGGGGGGGAATTTTTTTGGGGAAATTTCCCCCCAAAAGGGAAATTTTTTTTTTTTTGGTTTTTTGGGGGGGGGGGGGGGGGGGGGGGGGGGGGGGGGGGGGGGGGGGGGGGGGGGGCCCCCCCCCCCCCCCCCCCCTGGGGGCCCCCCCCCCCCCCCCCCCCCCCCCCCCCCCCCCCACCCATAAAAAAAAAAACCCCCCCCCCCCCCCCCCCCCCCCCCGGGGGGGGGGCCCCCCCCCATCTAGTATTGACGATACGAATTTTAATGTAAGGCCTTAGACAAAACCTCTTTTTAACTTGTTTTATAGTTTGTTAACTGATCACGTGTACAAATTCATTTTCGCCTAAGTTTATTGCGGCATTAATTTCTTTTGAAAATCATGTATATATTAACACTTAACTGTTTAAAACTCAAAATCTATTAGTTCAATATTTACGTTACGTGTTTAAAACTGGTAAAACTCTTTTCCTTTTATTTGTTTCATGTGTAAACATTAGGAAGTATTCGTAATTACTTATTGTAATCTATCGTAGTTCGAAGGGTTCGATTAAGCTATCCATATGCTATGCTATGCAAATATATACATGCATAGCATTGTTAAGGTCATGCAGACGATGACGTGCAGAATGTTTTTCCTTGAAAACTCATCGCATATAAAAACCTGATCTGCTGACGTCACACCGTATTAGGGAAAACTTTTCACACGTTTTCTTAATGTGCAATAATTTAAATAAAACACTAACGATTCAAAAATCGAATATAAATTGAAAAAAATTTCGACTCGGACAGGACATGAACCGGCATCGTCAGCTTTCCGTGCTGTTGCTCTACCAAAAAAAGAAAAAAATAATAATTTATTTTCGAATTTTAAATTATATAGTGCCTTCATGTGCACAATGTAAAAAATATTAATGTTTTTAAAAACACTAACGGTTCGGTTGTGATCGTTGGTAAAGTTAGCAATGTATGTATATAAACTATGTATTTTGCGTCTGATTTGCGTGGATGTTGGATATTACCTGTGGTACGAATATCGAAATTGGGTCCGGGTCACGTACCACCGTCCCCAGATGATAAAGCCGTCAAGTTTAATCGCGACCTCCCAAACCACCACCAATTCCCGCCACCCGTTTAATATCTAGATTTTCAGACGAACGCCCAATGTGTTTAAGAAAAATGATTAAAAACTCGTGGGGACCGAACGAACCATTTTTTTTCTTAGCTACCATTAGACCCACGAGCCCAAACTGACTTAAGACGAATAAGTAGCATTTTTTTGTAATACCAATATTGCGATACTAAAAAAAAATATCTATACAGAACCCTATTGATAATACGGCATTACTTTCGACCAGATTTGATAACCATAAAAATTAAACACTGTCTGTAGTTTACGCGAGTTGTACAAATTTAAATAAAACACTTTAACGGTTCAAAACGCGATATTTATTAGTTAAACCTATTGTCTCCCCGACTGCTGGAAAGCATCCGAAACGCCGCGCCGTAGGTAAAAATAATTTTTCAAATAAGTTTAACTAATATATATCGCGTTTTGAACCGTTAAAGAGTTTTATTTAAATACCATATTAACTGTTCTGGCAAGTTGATCTTAAAAGATATACATCTACATAGTTAGGACGAAAAATATCGGACACTTATTTGGGACATTTTTTCGTATAAAGGAATCATTTTCCACATATTATTTTTCGTTTTTGAACCGTTATATATAATGCTATATAGCCTAAAACCTTCCAGAATAAATGGTCAATCCAACACAAAAATATTTTTTCAAATCAAACAAGTAGTTGCTAAGATAAGCGCATTTAAAACAGAGCAAGATATTAGTATAGATGACTCATTAAAATTTATCAAAACTAATTCAGCCGGAAATACGCTACATTTTTACGAATTAGTATGCAATATTAAACTTGAGGAAAGCTTAAAGTATTTATAAGCGAGACGTAATAATTATTGTGGCCTTTGAGGAAAATGATTCGAAATATTTTGTTTGCATTTACGTACATATAAAAACGTCATTACTAAATCTGTCCTATATTAGTTTATGACCCTCTCTTTATTAAGTAAAATACTTTTAACGGTGTAAAACGCGAGGTAGAAACACGGGAGGTGGGAAAAAAGCCCAGTTACCACGACTGTTGCGAAAACATTAAACGTCAGGTTAAAAAGCAATATTTCCGGTTTTAAACCGTCAATTTTTTTCATTTTATGTGTGTAGCGATAACTTAATTAAATTAAACATTTAAACATAGTGATTTCTCGTTCTCCTACAATTAGCATTTAATGTTAACCAAAAAAATATAAACAACAGTAATTTTAACTTAATTTTGACTAATTAATTTAAGTAACTATTACGTGATAGATTTAAATTTAAGAGTCAAAATACAATACGCACAACATATACAACACCATTTGCGTATTAAATTCAAATTACAATAGACAAACCCGAATGATCTAAGCTAAGCCGCTAAGCGACTCGAACTGCGCGTGCGTCACGAAAACCTGTATTTATACATGAAGTACACCCATCAGATCGGCAAAATGCTTCTACTGCTCTACACGTTCGCTGCGATCGCGAACATCGTTGCTAAATCGCACAATTTTAACATCGACAACGATGTGAACCCATATTTGAGGGTCAAACGAGCCAATGATCACTTTAGTGATGTCCCAGTGAACTATAACGACGGTAGCCGCGAATGGAATCCGGAATTCCAACCCGATCTAATAAGTGATGTGAACGTCAACGACTCAATTGACCCGTCAAATGACGAGGCGGTCGAATTGAACGATGATATAAGTAACAGACAACCAGCGCGAGAATATTGACCCTGAACTGAGCTACCAGAACGAAGTGTACGCACCTGAGGAGAGCGAGGATTTCGTGGACGAAGACGCTAATGAATTAGAAGCTGTTAGGAAGAAGAGAAGCTATTACATACCGGTGAATGCTGAATATGAGTCCGAGAGCGAGATTGAAGAAGTCAGTATTAACTCTAATAATGACACAAGTATAGCCACTAGAAATATAAACAACCACTACCACACCAGCAACTGTTATATCCGCTGAAGAAGAAAGTCTGGACTATGAAAACGGGGGACGTTTCGTTATCACACCATCTCGGCGTGTCAACTTATATCCCAATAAGAGACCGGAAAAAATACCCCCCACTATAAATAAGGGAAAGAACAAAACGCAAGCTTATTACCCCCTCAGCCATACATATATCCCAGGATATAATCAGCCAGATGACGTTTTCAATTTTGAAAAAGGACCTGTCCAAGCTGACGTTAAGAATAAAACAGTCGCGGCAAAGGATAATAAACGCAATAAGGAACGAACAGGTAATGAAAGTGAGACAGACGATGCTGCAACAGAAGACGGTGATGTTAAAAGGAAGCGCGTTCAGAGGAGTTACTACTTGCCGGTACAGAGAAGACCAGGTAAGCCCCAAGAATACTATCCGCTGAGCCACACATACATCCCGGGACAGAACGAGCAAGACGACGTATTCGATTTCGAACTGGGTACCGTGATACCGTATGCAAACAAAACCGGAAATGGACATAATAGCACTAATGGAACGGAAGGTAATCTAAGTAACAAAAATGACAAGCCAGGCGGACCTAAGCATACCATGCATAAAAACAATGTTACTACGAAGAAACCTCCTACCAGCACCGAAGCGGATTCTGGTTTTTGGGGCGGTTGGTTCGGTGGTGGTAAGACGACAACCAACCGGCCAAACGTTATCAAACATCAGACTTCACCCAAGCCTACAAAGCATAAAGAATTAGACGAATCGCTCGACTACGAAAACGGCGGTGGGTATGTATCCTATACTTCCCCTAAAAACAGACATCCTAGTCTTCAACAACAAGTACGAAGGCCGTATCAACGACCGACATCGATAAGTCGCGCACCACACAAAGGAAGGCGAAACAAGCCATCCAGATACGAATCTATCAAGAACTACGAAGACGCTTCAGAAGAGGAAACTGAGAGAATGAAAAGAAGAACCGCGAAGACATAGGATCTCTCGTTTAAAGCGCAGTTACTACCAGCCCATCTACGAAAACGAGGGCAACGGCCGCAAAAAAATAGCGGGCTACTATCCATTGAGCCACACTTATATACCCGGCACAAACCAACAAGAAGACGTCTGGAAGTATGAAGGTGGACCAGTCTATCCGTACCCAAGTGGACAAGAGGCTCACGCGACACCTAACAAAAATAGAGGCCACAAAGTAGTCTACGTTGAAACTGAAGAGCAAGCAACGACCGTACACCATAGCAAAAATAAAGGTAAAGGCGACAAAGACGAAGGTCTCCTCACCAAATACCTTGTCAACCCGATAAAAAAACTCTTTGGTTATAGAAAAAAGCGGAGCATAGACAACGCCAATCGTGACGCCATAGTGGTCCGTAAGAGGAACGGCGTCACCGAATTTCTCAATAACATGGTGCAAAAGGTCTACAATTACACCCTGCACGACCAGGTGGTGGTGATTGACGAGAAGAACGTGCTGAGTAATCGCGGCAACTCTGTTTCAGATGCGTACGGACAGTACAAATACGACAACGGACAGTACCACAGCGGGTACAACGTACCAGACTACAACGGCGGAGCATATCCGAACAATTATCAAAACAATGCGTACCCGAGTTACCAAAACCGGTATCCCGACAACCAAAACGGATACACGAACAACCGATACGGATACACGAACAACCAATACGGATACCAGGATCCGTACAACCGAAACGGATATCAAAGTAACGCGAATGAGATTAACAGTGTTGCAATCACTGAAAGCCCTTATAATAATCAGTACTCTCTTTCCCAGGACGCTACTAATGCCGAAGCGGAGAAGGGAACGAACGATGTGAGCGATGATGACTTGAATGGTGAGAATGAAACGAACGAGAGCGGCGCGCAGAAGATCGTCAAGGAGACGTGCTTCCTTTGCAGCTCCATGGGCTGTCCGAAAGACCATAGACGAAGGGGTTTTGTGTGCGTTCGAATAAGATAAATCGAAATTCCAAATTGTTCCAATAAACTATTGAATCCGATACGTTTTTTATTCGCTAAATTAGTCACTTAGTAAAAATATAATCACCAACAAACAGCGATGTAAAAGTATCTATACTAACATTTAAAGCTGAAGAATACTGTCTATAGTTTACGTGTTAGTGTACACATTTAAATAAAACACTTTAACGGTTTAAAACGCGATATATTAGTATATATCCAAACAAGTTTAACTAATATAACGCGTTTTAAACCGTTAATGTGTTTTATTTAAATAAATCTGAAGAGTTTGTTTGAAGATGTGAAAAAACAACGGGGAAATTATTCATCTTTGTAGGTTTCCGATGCGTACGATGCGAAACGGTAAAGATACACAAAAAATATGTAAAGGAGAATGTTTTTTTTTTAATTATCAAAAAAATGCAACGGACGCAACGGACGTCGTGGGTTAAGCTATAAAGAGAAGGATTTTGCAAAAATAAGTTCGGATGCCCAAGATTAACGCGGACTTAGTCGCTACCTCAGGCAGTAATAAGATAAAAATGTACATTAGGAGATAATTATAGTTTTATAAAGTTTGTAACAAAGGCGGGATTCGAACACACTATCACCATGCAACGTGCTACAGTTCTACCAATAAAACTACTGTTTTAGCCTGATAACATTTAGGACCTTATGCTTCACTACACACATTTTCATTTAATTACAAATTTTTATTTGAAATTTGCTTCTTTACTATAATTCTGTTTTCCTTTCACATGCAAAGGTTGCATGGAAGAAATCGCCGTAGGCGATAAGGCCGCCCTTGCACAAACATGTTCATTAGTAAATATCACTAGCTGTGTCAGCAACTTCGTCCGCTAAAAATATTTATTTTGGGAATCCAAATTAGTTTTTGGAAACTCCTTCATCTTTATAAGCTTAAGTACGACGTCGCGTGGCGTCCTTTTCCGTCGTTTTTGCAAGTTAATCTTAGAAGATGCGAGAGAAGCGTCTTTTTAGATCATTTAATGAGGAATATTCTTTAAAAACACTTTAACGGTTTAAAACGATATATTAGTTAAACTTATTTGGAAATGATTTTTAACTTCGGCCCGACGTTCCGGTCTCCCCGTGACCACGGCTGCTGCAAAGCATCCGAAACGTCGGGCCGAAGTTAAAAATAATTTTCAAATAAGTTTAACAAATATATCGCGTTTTAAACCGTTAAAGTGTTTTATTTAAATGTGTACTACTCGCGTAAACTATAGACAGAGGAATCATTCTAACATACATATCTTTTGGGTATCTTGAACCGTTTTTGCAGCGTACGCCTCGGATTAACCTTGTATTAGTCACAGGGCAATGTTTTATAGCCTATAGCCTTCCTCGGTAAATGATCTAATCAACGCAAAAATATATTTTCAATTCGTACCAGTAGTTCCTGAGATTAGCGCGTTCAAACAAACAAACTCTTCAGCTTTAGATATTAATAATAGATTTAAGTGTCAATGCAAACCTACCTTCTATGTTAATTTGGTAGGGCATTATATTGGTGTATTAACAAAATAGTGAATCTTTTTTTCTTATTCCCGTTATGTTATTCCTTAGATTTCTTGAAAAATCCCATATCCTCTTGAGGGTTGGTTGGGATGTAAATATTTTTTTTTTTTTGTTTTTTACTAAATTAATTTAAGAAAGATCATCAGTTTAATATATAATCCAGTGTCTCAAAGTGTTTTTAGCGTAAATCAATGTGAACTTTTTGAGATAATCGCGATCTTATGACAATTGTGTGTTTGTTTACCAAAACTGCCAAGTTAGAAAAAACACATTATACATAATATGTTCTACTCACTCGGAGGGCGTAGTTGTTGCGGGTGCTCCACCAAGTTAGTGATCGCGTCCTCATTCAAATTCTCCACGATATCATCTCCACCGATATTACAGTCTTCCACTCGCTGCATGTCCGTCCGTACGTCCGCGCTGGAAGCTTTAGTGGTGTCCCGCTTCGATTCCCGCTCCTCCGGCGTCATTAGGATGACACTGTCCCACCTGTGTCATAAGTCATACTATACTATCCGGAAAATATCTTAAACAATACATTAAGGTGCGCAGGAGTCGATTTGTCTTTTTGGCGGAACAGGACGCGGGGGGAGGAGGGAGAAGAGATCTATCTATAGTAATATACAAAGCTGAAGAGTTTGTTTGTTTGAACGCTAGCCTCCCTACTAATAATCTCAGAAACTAGTGGTATAGAAAAATTATTTTATATTGGTTAGAGCATTTATCGAGGAAGGCTATAGGTTATAAAACATCACGATGTGAACAATAAGAGTTAGAAAATAAAAACCATTCAAATTGTGGGAATAAAGAAGGTTGGGAACTGACAATACAAGGTCGAAATCTCGCAAGAAGGATTCTGTACAAGACTAGGTACAGGAATTTAGGTGCGTCTTAGTTATTAGACTTTTATGCTATATCAAAACCTATTTTGGGATTTGTTGATTGTGGGGTGGCGGAAGAAGGTGGCGGTGGTCAGTCACCACCAACAACTCAGGACACTTACCATTCAATATCCGGGACCCTATCGGAGTCAGGTACGTCCGAGGCGAGGAGAGCCAGCTTTGTGGCCGATGAGATGCCCGTCTTGCGCGCTATCTGCGAGATCTCGTTCTGCAGCTTCTCCAGTTGAGCCTGGACAAGCATATTGATTAGTAAGACTGAAATGAGGCTGCTTGAGGCAGAGTGGCCTAATAACAAACAACACGATTTTCAATAAGGAGACAAATAATAACGCGTAATTAATTAAACAACTTAGGCGAAAATGAATTTGTACTATTATTTGTGTAAGAATTATGTTAACAATTTTACCACTGTTCTTGTATATTTAGATTATGAAAATATAAATAATTGAAGTTAGGCTATTCTGCCTCTAGCGGCCTAAATATAAAAATAATAAAAGCATTAAATTGCAATTAAATGATATGAAAACTACTGTAGCTAAATCTTTTTTATTAATAAGTACAAAAGTTTTGAATAAAAAAAAAATACTCTATAAAATTAGAAATACTTTAAAATTATAATTTTACATTCGTCAAAAAAATGTGTCCATATCTGTCTGTTCGTCGTGATTCTGCAGTGTTCAATAAAGATGAACACATACATACCTTTAAAACATTTTTAACTGTTTATAACGCGAAATGTGTTTTGCAAATGATTTTGGCTCGACGCTTCAATGATTAAAAAATAAATTATAAATTAGTAAAATTATATATTTCGCGTTTTAAACCGCTAACATAATATGTATGGTGCATTTTTTCTTATTTGGCACAACACAAAACACATCTTGTTAAAATAAAACATTTAACGTTTTAATAAAACACTTTACTTTAAAACGCGATCTTTTTAACTCGACGTTTGTAATGATTTTCAGCGAATCGTGTTCCGGGGGCGGGGGGGGGGGGGGGGCAATATATCGTCGTTTTAATTAATGTTAAAGTGTACATAAAACATTATTAACGGTTGCAAACGCGACATATATATTATGAGATTTGATCATTTTGACTACGGGGCGATGTCCAAGAACTTTTCCAATTTTAATTAATGGTAAATAAGTTAACTAATACGTTCTTAAACAGTTATCAGCGTCTTATTTTAATGTTTACTCTTCGTGTAAACTGCAGACAATACTTAAGTAAGATTCGGTGAGGATCTACACAAACGAGTCCAAAACCAACCTTCATCCGGAGTCGCTCGGCCATCTGCCTGAACTTCCCTGGCTCGTGGAAGCGCAGCGCCCTCTTGACCCTCACGGGGGCCTTGCTGGGGACCCGCGCGTCCATCCACGGTGCCTCCACGGGGATCTCGTTCGCGGCCTGCCCGGACAACTGCGCTTTGAACTCTTCGCGTCGCTTCGCCCTGATGTTAGCCTGAAATTCAAGAATTTACCTTAAAATATATGTAAATACTAATATGAGGCTGCTAGAATCAGAGTGGCCTAATAAAAAGGAAAAAATAAATGATTTGTGTAAGAATTGTGTTAAGTTTGCCTTTTAAGACTATGAAAGTATAAATAAATAACACAAGTAATCAATTTGCGCGAATAGGCTACTCTGCCTCTAACGGCCTATGTTAATGAAGATAAAAATGTAAACCGTTCAAGTGCGACTGGACTTTTGCACTAAGGGTTAAATACCATGTGAAAGCCCGTTTCCCCCTCGCGGGTCATGGGGGCAAACACATTTCTGTGTCCGTTTCACTGATCCGTTCTTTAACAGGCAAGCAGTTGATCGGACTTCTGTGCCCCGCCCGACCAAAACATTTTTTTTCCGTGGGATAAAAAATTTTTGAAATTCAATGAGACCCCATATCGAGCAACACTACCATTTAGGCTGAGTATTACAACTACCAACTCCGTGGTTGTCATAAAAAGTGCATACCTTGAGCGTCGGAGCCACTTGGGTCAAATGCACCCTTCGCCCAGCCGGGTCAATGGTGCGACCTTCTCTATCCAAGATGAGAGGAGCTGGACCAGACAGACCTGGCTGTAACGCACCACCTGGAATCGGAAATAGGAGATCATACAATGTCCTAAACACACGTTTAGAACGGCTCTACAGAAACCTTTAACGGTTTAAAACGCGATATGTTAGTTAAACTTATTTGAAAATTATTTTTAACTTAGCCCGGCCACGTCTCCCCGTGACCACGGCTGCTGCAAAGCATCCGAAACGTCGGGCCGAAGTTAAAAACCATTTTCAAATAAGTTTAACCAATATATTGCGTTTTAAACCGTTACAGTGTTTTATTTAAAAGTTTAACTAATATAAATCGCGTTTCAAACCGTTAAGGTGTTTTATTTAAATGTGTACTACTCGCGTAAAACTACAGACAGTAGCTCTACAGGTTTTTAAATAGAAAATCGATTTTAGATTGTTTACGACACGGGCGGGACTCGAACCGGTATCCACAACTTACCGTGGTACTGTATTACGTTATTGTTAATTTTTTACTGTTTGTAATTTATTATGCGATTAGTACAGATTTAAATAAAACACTTCTGACGGTTTAAAACGTGTGTATAAGAACTAATTTGCAAATTATTGTAACGCGTTTTAAACCGTTGAAAGAGTTTTAATTACTGTGCACGCTGTAGCCCTTTTTTGGCTTTTGGCTCTTGTCATATGGACTACTAACACCCCCTTCGTGGACGGATTCTATTAAGTATACATTTTTAGCTCCCCCCCCCCAAATAATACATATATAGTGTATTTTTTCTTACTTGACATTTTTAACTTTGTTTATGGTAATTAATTGTTTAATATAAAAACCAGTGTCTCAAAATGTCTTTATTCAAACCTTGTGAGAAAATCGTGACCAAAAATGCCAAATACGAAAAAAATATACTATATAAGTTAAGCAACGGCAAACATACCAGCTAGTTTCCTTTGAATCCTCGCTTGCAGCTCGGCAATCTTTTGTTGCTTTTCCAACTCAGCAGCAGATATCACTCCGGTAGCTGAAACACGAAAAAACTTGGTTTCCATTTAAATAAAAACACTTTAACGGTTTTAAACGCGATATATATTGAAATATTTTAGCACGGCCGCTGCAAAGCAGCCGAAACGTCGGGCCGTAGTTAAAATTGATTTGTAAGTAATTTTGACTAATACATTTCGCGTTTTAAACGCGTTTTTATTTAAATGTGTACTACTCGCGTAAATTATAGACATTATTCAAGTTGGTTTAGGCTCCAAAATGAGAATATTAACTCTCCATGGGGCCGAGCATTATGTTGTTTATGCATGAGAGGTCCTGGGATCGAATCCCAGGGGAAATACAAATTTGGGTTGGGCAGTGACCAAAGTCTGATCTATTCAAGAAGAAGAAGAAAGAAAAATTTATTTACTACTAAGGAACACGAAAACACATGTTACACTTATTACTAAAACATAAAAAAAAAAACAAATATTGTATCTTAACAGTATAACTTAATATAACAAGATAGGATAATATTGTGTGCTGCTAGAAGAATAGGATCTAACTCAGTTTATATCAGGCCCTTTGTTGACCTGAAACTGATTTTCAGTAAGTCCTTAGAGTGTGGACAGCGGTGCCACACTCTAAGTCCTCGGCTGTCTCTCAGCTCCATCATCAGATCCACTCCAAATTCTTATATAATTGCATCAATTTAAAGTACTAATTGAAAGACTTAACAATACACTATAGTTCGTCCAGACGATGTTTTTTTAAAATCCTCCCAATATATCTAGTTAGCGACTAAAAACAATGTTCAAAAAAAAACAATAGAACTTAAATAAAACACCTTAACGGTTTAAAACTCGATTTTTACTAGGTAAACTTATTTGAAAATTATTCACGTCACTTGCAGCAGCCGTGATCACGGGGAAACCACGGCCGAAACGTTGGACCGTAGTTAAAATAATTTCCAAATAAGTTTAACTAATATGTATCGCGTTTTAAACCGTTTAAGTGTTTAATTTAAATGTGTTCTACTCGCGTTAGTCGGTTAAAAACTCACCTGGTCTCGAGTACAACATTGGTTTGATAACGCTCGGTGGGGCAATGGTATTGCTGCCCTGCAGCTGATTGGTGATGTGCTTTGCTGTTTGTGCTGCAACATTGACATTCCCCTTATCCCCCTTTATAGCCATAAGGGCACGTTTTCTTTCTTCTATTTCCTTCTGCGCATTCGCCATCATTAACTGGAAAACAGTACTAATATATAAAGCTGAAGAGTTTGTTTGTTTGAACGCTCTCATCTCAGGAACTACTGCTTCGAATTGAAAAATCTTTTTGTGTTGATTAGAGCATTTATTGAGTAAGGCTATAGCTATAGGCTAACAAAACATTGCGCTGTGACTAATAGGAGCGGAGAACCATCGGGAAATGTGAAAAATCGGGGAAAATTATTAATATCTAATTTCAGAAAGAATTATTCCTCGTTAAATGATCTATAAAAAAGTACGCAACAGTATAAGCCTATCCTGTAAGACCAACTTGTGAGAACCACGGGACACGGACGACGTCGTGGGTAACAGCTTATATTTATAGAGTTGAACAGGTGGTTTGCTAAAGCAAAAAATTCTACAGACAAAAGAGACAAGCACGGGGAGCACTTGATCCTAGGATCCTAGGATATACCCCAGTCATATAACATCTAATCAAGATGCACTCTCGATTTGGATATTTGATATTCTTCAGACGGAACATGAAACGCGATTGTAGGCGGCTTATATTACGGCTTTTTCATCTGTGGACAGTGTCTGCCGGACAGAATATTAATATTCCTCAAACACATTTAATATCTATCTACATTGGAAACATGTTCGACCTGGTCGAGATCCCACGACATGTTGATTATTAAATACTGTCTATACTTTACTCGAGTAGTACACATTTAAATAAAACACTTTAACGGTTAAAACGCGATATATTAATTAAACTTAATGAAAGTTAAAAATCATTTTCAATAAGTTTAACTAATATATCGCGTTTGAAACCGTTAAAGTGTTTTATTTAAATGTTGATTATTAGCAATACATTTCTACCATTAGAACAGGCTCATCCTCAAATTAATCTAACAGAAACATTTTTCAGAACTTGAAGCCAAGACATCAAAATAAAATTACCTCCAACATACCTTTATCTTATCCGCACTAAGACCAGCCATCTTCGAGCCCACGGTCTCGCCATCGGGAATAATCGATGGCAACTCAATACCATTGTCCTTTTCTTTCTCATCTCTGTCCCTATCTTTATCTCTTTCTCTCTCTCGGTCATGTCTGTCGCGTCTGTCATCGCGAGATTCGTATTTGTCATCGTGGCGCGATCTGAAAAAAATATCTTATATTTAAAAAAAATCCTTATAGCAAAGAATACAAAAGTTTTAAGAGAACGACTTAAAAATATAAGTCTAATCATTCAATATAAGTAAAATATCTTCTCTATAACAGGGGGTGGGGGCAAACACAATTTTGTGTTGTGTTTCTTAACGTTCCCAACCGAGGTTTATTCATACTTAGTTATACAGTAAACATACAACCAAACTTTCTGTATAAATGTTATTTACCGTTTACTGTCTTTATCTTTATCGCTACTGTCATGTTTCCGCTTCTGTGACTTTGACGAAGAGATTAGCTCTTGAGCGAGAGCTATCACCTTATCTGCAAGTTTGCTAGCTTTCTTTGAATCTATGTGAGAAGACAACCTATCAATTATCTTCCGCCTTTCATATCTGAAATAGAGCAGTGAAGAGTTTGAGAGTTTAGTCACATAGAATGATAGTATTAAACTAAGAATGGTGTAATCATTTTAATAAGGCCATTTTGCAATGAATTACATTTAAGAAAACAGTGTTTACTTGATAATAGTCCAATAAAGATGATCTATTACTATTTTTCACCATAGTCCACTACCGTATCCTTGTTTTCTACAAAGGAATGAACTATATGTTTCAATTATGCCTATTACGAGACTATGGACATCTAAGTCCTGAAACCATTCTGTTGTGACTAAAAAGCTCTAATTCAAAATAATGTTTCAATTAAAAACATTGTTGTGTTGGTTAGAGAATCTTATCGATGAAGGCTAAAGCTTTAAACTTGTATTGATAGAAAATAAGATTAATGGCCAATGTGAACAAAATGGTTTCTGAGGACTGTTCGCATATGTCTGTGCGAAAACATTTTAAGACACCCAAAAAGTTTTTTTGAAAGAAGATCCTGATTTAAATATCTAGTAAAAAGACAGCAACAAACTCTTACACATTATGTCTACATCTTCCTAAAGAATAAATATGTATGTATGATAATACAATGAATAAGAGAATTTGTATACATACTCTAAGAGACTGAGATTTGAGGCTTATGTAACAGCCAAGAAATAAGGCCTAAAAACTTAGCAACTAAACTTTTCATTCCTTATAACTATTTATAATACTTTCTAACAGTATCCTTTGGTTAGGTGATGATTAACCTTAAGACATGGTTACATACACATACTTATAAGAGTTTATTAGTTCTTCTATACCAATTAATGCATAGATTACTATAAATATGTTCCTAACATATAAACACTGAATTCATAGTGCGTAGTGTGTATCTATAATGCTTACCCATTCGTCAAACAAGATGAGACTGTTGATAGGACTGAACTATCGGATTTACCGATTGTTCTGTATATAGCGCGGTCGATAGACGATCGCAGATCATCAACCTCTCGCCTGGACAACTGTAGAGCCATTATACAACGAAAAATCTCAGATATACACAATAATGATTTGAGAATTGAGGTTAGGTTTGCACTGAGTTCATTTTTCTTCACTGTGATACAGGATTCATCGAAGTAATATAAAAAAAATAATATTATTTAATTTGGATATTTCAAATCTGTATAATATATATGTAGAATTAAATTTGTTTTATCATTAACAACAAACAAGCCTACGATTTACGATTTTATTTAAAGTTTGACAATTGACATCTTGTGAGTTATGATGTGTGTCATCCTAAAACCAGCAAATGCGGTGTCAAAAAGTCAAGCACGATTGTAAGAAATATATTATTTTACATTCTTGGAAATATAATATTCAACATTTTTAAATATATATATTTAAAGAACAACCTTATATTATAACAAAATGATTTGGGTTTGGCATAACGTATTTAGAATTGTAAAACCATTAAGAAGAAGCAGAAGATGCTTAAAGACGTTAATCTTTGCTTTGAATTATATAGTCTGTGGTTGCTCTATATCTCTGGGTATTGTTATGTTTACTGTATTAAGGTTATATGCAAAACAATTTTTATTGAGTTTTTTATGTAAAAATATAGTAGCTTGACCATTGTACTGAATTGTAACTCCATCAAAATAAAATTGTTATTTTAAACATAACATTTGACTGCTTTTGTAGTGTTTACTATATAATATAAACATAACCTAAGAATGTCTGACGATGAAGATGTTATTGTTGTGAAAAAGCCGAAATCGGTCTACTATGGATCCTTGGAGGAACAGGAGAAAGCGCGGTTGGCTGCTCTTGCTGCAGCGGTCAAGGAGGGCGCTGAAGATGGAGATGCTAAAGAACTTGGAGACATACAAATATCTAATGGTAATTTAAGTATAAATATGCCCTCTTATGAGTCTTGTATGAGTGTTAGAGTCTTCTAACTTAATAATATACTAATTCAAGACAAACAAAGACGTCTTCTACGAATTGATAATTGCAAACGGTCCAGAATTAAAATAAGATTCCATTTTCTTATAGAATACATGGAACTTGAAGAAGAGATGTCAAGAGATAAGAAGGCCTTATTAGAAGAATTTGAAAGACGAAGAAAAGCAAGACAATTAAATGTATCCACTGATGATGATGAGGTTTGTACTGTACAGCAAATAGCTTTTGGATCTGTAGTCAAACCAAGACGCTATAGGACAAGAAGTTATTTGCAGTAGTTACCGACTTCAGTGTGCGTTCAGTAATTGTTAATTTAGATAAAGCTGTAATATGTGATAATAATTATGTTTTCAATAAATAAGTACTTAATATAGGTACGCAGAAGCTTGCGTCAGCTGGGGGAACCAGTGTGTCTGTTTGGAGAAGGACCTGCCGAGAGACGTGTCAGATTGAGGGACCTACTGAGCTAGTAAGTTATTTTTTGCTGGTTGTTGCAATTGATAAGTGGTTACCGATGTTTCTCCATATCCAAGAAAATACAGCCCAAACTCTTCTCATTATGACATCCTAACAGTTTTTTAAGCTCAGAAGTAAGAAGCCTCTAGAAATTGCTGTAAAAGCTACATACAGTTTATGTTTGAGGTTTTTTAATTGCTGTCCTGCCTTTTTTTTATTGCTAATGTCTCTCGAACAATTTTAATAATACATTTATTCACTGTCTGTAATTTACGAGATATGCGTTTATTTCGCGTTTTAAACCTTTAAACGCAACGTAAATACTGTCTGTTGTTTACACAAATAGTACACATTTAAATGAACACTTTAACGGTTTAAAACGCGATATATATTAGTTAAACTTATTTGAAAATAATTTGTAACTTCGGCCCGAAATTTCGGGGAGTCTCCAGTGACCACGGCTGCTGCAAAGCATCCTAAAAATAAGTTTTACTAATATATATCGCGTTTCAAACTGTTAAAGTGTTTTATTTAAATTCATTCATTTATTTTTGCACAAATTGACTGTTTTTTATACCTTAATTACCGTTCCCACACATTAGTTTAAAGTTTAATGAATTGACCTAATTTCATTAGTGTTTATCAATATATTTTCAAAGCCTCGGTGAAGATGCAATAAACAAAAAGTTGGAAGAGGAAGAAGCTAGGATAGAGAGAGACAGAGGTCGTGAAGGTACATGGTACCACGAGGGACCACCGGAACTTAGAGAAGCCAGGCTTTGGATAGCAAGATACTCTCTACCTAAAGCGAAAGAGAGGTGTTTATTGCTCAAGTTAAGAATAAGGTCAAACTTTAATTTGAGCATTTAATGTCTTGTTTACTAAGTTGGTCTTTTTAACAGAATTCATTTCATATCTATACTAATATATAAAGCTGAAGAGTTGGTTTGTTTGTTTGAACACGCTAATCCCAGGAACAACTAGTTCGATTCGAATTTTTTTTTTGTGTTGGTTAGATCATTAGATAAGGCCGCCTTTTATTTGTAAGTTAGCACGTAAAGCAATAATACAATAAAAAATAAAATCATTTATCAAGGACTGTCTGTAGTTTACACAATTAGGAGTCATTGAAATAAAAAAATATTAACGGTTTTAAACGCGAAATATATTATCTCATTTACAATTTATTTTAACTATGGATTGGCCCAACATTTCGCATGCTTTGCCGGGGACACGGGGGGACTGAAGATGGAGAGTGTCCCTATTGTAAAAGTAAAAACTGCTAGTTAGCGCCATCAGTTCCGTTCTTGGTGGTATTTAGCAAACGTTACAACTTAAATATATTTCGCGTTTTAAACCGTTAAAAATGTTTTATTTCAAAAGCAGTACAGACTCCTTTCAGTAAACGCGTCTTAGTGTTGAAATTGTCCTTAAAAACTAAGATACAATAACACTATAACGGTTTAAAACGCAAAATATACTAGTAAAACTTATTTACAAATTGCTAAGCGTAAACTACGGACAGAGTTTGAGAGACGCGGCTTTTAACATCCAGCTGTGTCAGTATTGCTGTTTATTCCAATTAGGCTAACGAAAGCCCGCGAAGAGGTGAAGCTGAGCGGCAGCATCAGAGCGGCTGCTAAACAGGAGTCGCAGAGGAAGGCATCAGCCATGTCTATATATTGCAGTCAGGTATTTATTTATGTCATCATAAATTTTATTATTTTACTTTGGGACGTTGACTGCCTCTGTAGCCAAATGGTTAAACGTATTGCCTAGCATTGCATTAAGCGCGAGAGTTCCTGGGTTCGAATCCCAGGGAAACATAACATTGTCTCGGTCGGGCAGGAGCACAAAAGTCTGATCTTAAAGCAACTACTTGCTTGTTAAAGAACGAATCAGTGAAATTGACACAGAAATGTGTTCGCCCCATGCCCCACGAGGGGGGAACGGAATTTCACGCACACTTTTGAGGACACATTCTGTATAGTATAGTAGGATCCCATTTTCCTAAATTGGGCTCGGGGCGAACACATATCTCTTCTATCTCAGTGTCTGTTATATTGATCTATTTTATTTACAATTCGTTATATAAATTAATAACCTATTAAGATTTAAAAAAATACGACACGGGCAGGACTTGAACCGGCATCCAATGGTTGTTTGAACAATGGTTGTTCGAACCAATGGTTATTCGAACCAATGGTTTTCGAACCAATGATTGTTCGAACCAATGGAGCTACCGAGTGCTAGCAGCGTCGCCCACTTATTGATACATGCACCTCTCGCTCATTTTTTTTACGTGTGTATTTAAAATATTAATGTTTTCAAAAGTAAGTGCGTGTATCCTGGTTTTTGTGCCCTGGCCGACCGAAACAATATATGAATTTGAGAGACCTTTTGTCTATAACACATAAGGTGGTTATCATTCTATATTAATCCTTAAAAATTTCCCACATAACATTTACTTAAATTAAATAAACACTAGGTTTAAACAACGCGATTTAGTTGAAAATCTTTTCAAATGAGTTTAAAGAATGTATCGCGTTTTAAACCTTAAAGTGTTTTATTTAAATTGTACTACTCGCGTAAACTATAGACAGTATTTAAATAAAACATTTTAAGCGGTTTCAAGGGCGAAATATATAAGTTAACTTATACTTTCATTTATTTAAAAAACGGTCAGACGTTTCGGATGCTTTGCAGCAGCCATGGTACAAAGATAGAGGGTGTTTGGAATGTCCGAAATCAACGCTAGGGCAGTCTGTTTGTGATTTTCTATTTAAAAAAATTATATTTTGTTAGATTGGTGATGCACGACCCATAAGCTTCTGTCGTTTTAGTGACGATAGCCAAATGTTGATCACAGCTAGCTGGTGAGTAGAATTCATGGTCAAGTTTAATCCCTACTAATTTATAAAGCTGAAGAGTTTGTTTGTTTACACGCTCTGATCGCAGAAACAACTGGTTCGATTTGAAAAATTATTTTTGTGTTAATTAGAGCTTGTATCAAGAAAGTCTATAAGGCAAGGAGCGAAGAAACAGCGGGAAATATTTAAATAAAACACTTTGACGGTTTAAAACGCGATATATTCGTTAAACTCATTTGAAAATGATTTTTAATTTCGGCCCGACGTCTCGGATGCTTCGCAGCAGCAGAGGTCATGGGGAGACATCACACGGTTAGATTTATAGTGAGATCTCTCCTACCAATTACAGGTCTGGTCTAGTCAAAGTGTGGTCTGTACCAGATTGTACCTTACTCCAGACCTTGAAAGGACACACGTGCAACGTCAGCTCAGCGGTGTTCCACCCGAACGCGACGCTACCACACCATTTTCAACAAAAGGTAAGAATTTAAAAAAAAGGAAGTTGGAAATGTTTATTCTACACTTTCTTAGTGTCACAATGTTGCTTCGAAACGGATCGACAGATTGGTATGAAATTTTTAAATGTACATTTGGCTGAGATTAAAAAAGAACGATGCTCAGACAAAGATCAAGATAAAATAAGAAGAATCGCAAATAAAATGTTAACTTATTAAATACATTTAAATTAAAAACCTATAACTGTTTAAAACGCGTAATATTAGTTAAAGTTAAAAGTTTTTAACTGTTTACACGTTTTAAACCGTTCAGGTATTTTACTTATATTGATATGAAAAAAAAAAGATCTAATGTATATCATTGTTTTTGGGGCTGTTCGGTCGACGTGAGCGAGAAAGAATTATGATAATTCTTCGAGCAATTGAGATAACATCTCCTTTCAGATAGACAAAGCGAAAAATAAAGACTCGGAGAGTCAACCAGAGCCAATGGAAGTGCTCGAGGATGTCTCGAAGAACGTGACCATGGCGTCCTGTTCCTATGACGGGAACGTGCATCTGTGGAATTTCGCTAGGTGGGTCAATTAGGTCAGACTAATAAAATAAAATAAAATATACTTTATTATAATTATAATAAAAAATCTATACTAATATTATAAATGCGAAAGTAACTATGGCTTTCTGTCTGTCTGGCCGGCTTTAACTCCGAAACTACTGAGCTGTTTTAAATGAAATTTGGTACACAGATATTTTACTTTTCAATGCCTAAAAAGGGTTGATAGGGGTTGAATAAAGGGATGAAAGTTTGTATGTAAATTCGTGGTTTTTGAAGTTAGAACAATGAAACTTTCTTTGGATTTTTGGGAATAGGAGTGGGAGTGGGAGTGATGTAAGGTGAGACTGTTGCGGCAAAGTAGCACATACAACATAGATTGGCTGCCTTAAATGCGCCCTTACATAATTATATTAATAAACAGCCTAAATAATTAAAAATATCCCAAGTCACTATTCCACGCGGACTAAGTCGCGGGCACAGCTAGTTCTCCATAAAATTATTAATATTATTTAGATGCGTCAAAAATAGTGAAATAATGCGTTTGTCTGTCTGTTCGTCGTGATTCTACAGAGTGTTCAAAAGAGCAACAACTGAGAAGATCATCCAAGAAAGTCAGTCCGGCTTTTTTTAACATGTCTTTAAACTATACATTTTTATAAACGAAACGAATCTAAATGTTTTTTTTTTAATTTTAAAGAGAATAAAGTATATTTTATTTTATTTTTATTCTTGTCTGTGTTACAGTGACAAACCCATGGCGTCACTGGAAGGCCATTCTCCCTCCAGGGTGGCAAGGGTGGAGTTCCATCCGTCGGGTCGTTTCCTTGCAGCCACCGTCTTCGATAACTCTTGGAGGCTCTGGGACCTAGAAACAGGTATTACTTTAGGATCATATCGTTAGTTATAAATCTTTTACTACCTGTGCCCGCGACTTCGTCCGCATAAAAAAATATTTTTGCAAATAACTGACTTGCCTGCCCCAGCATTCGAAACGTTGGGCTGTGGGTAAAACAAATTTTCAATACATTTCGCGTTTTAAACCGTTAAAAGTTTTTTTACTTTTTTACTTTTTTTTTTTTTTGTTTTTATTTTTTTTTTTTTAGGTAAATGACAAACTTTTACAATACATTTCGCGTTTTAAACCGTTTAAAGTATTTTTACTATTAAACTTATTCTTTTGTTCGTATACATAATTGCTGTGTAAGTAATTATAATAAATGGTGACAAACTTATAAAAACAAATACATTTCGCGTTTTAAACCGTTCAATCTTTTGTATTTAATACACTCTGTTTTTCAACTGGTTTCAGCTACCGAGGTCTTGCATCAGGAAGGTCACGCCAAACCTGTATACAGCGTGTCCTTTCAGGGCGACGGTTCGCTGGCCGCTACAGGGTGAGTACGGTTTTGTAAAATGATTCCTGGATCTTTGGGATTAAAAAAAAAATGTTTAAATGAAACACCAAAAAATATTTATAAAATGCAAACGTCAATAAATAGATTACCGGCAAACGCGAAGACACCAAATACCAACTTTGACGAACCAGATGGCGGTAGCGTAGCGGTTTTTTACTTTGACGTCAGAGACACCCCCGTCTTTAGTCTCCCCGTGACCGGCTGCTGCAAAGCATCCGAAACGTCGGGCCGAAGTTAAAAATCATTTTCAAATAAGTTCAACTACTAAATATCGCGTTTCAAACCGTTAAAGTGTTTTATTTTAACGCAAATTTCGTCCGTCAATCTTGCGATTTAATCTTAAAAGATAGATATATACTATCGCGGACATTTCTTTCGAGTCATTTAAGGAAGCGTACTTTCATACATATTTTTTTGGTATGTTGAACCGTTTATGCAGCGCACGCAACGAAAGCCCTCAGAGATAAGTAATGTTTCCCATTTTTCCACATTTCCCACTCTTCCCTTCTTCGCTCCTATTGGTCGTAGCGTAGATTATTATGGCCTGAAGTTTCTTCGATAAATGCTTTAACCAACAAACCAAAAAAAAAAAAAACAATTTAAACCAATGGTTCCTGAGATTAGCGCGTTCAAACAAACAAACTCTTCAGCTCTACAATTTTAGTATAGACGGAAGGTATATTTGATTCCAGCGGAATGGACGCGTTCGGCCGCGTATGGGACATGCGCACGGGCCGCTGTGTCATGTTCCTCGAGGGACACTTGGGAGCAGTTCTGGGTGTCGCTTGGTCTCCCGTTGGGCACCATCTGGCTACGGCCGCCGCTGATCACCAGGTATTCTTGACTATTTCAAACAAATTTATCAAAACTAGCAATGTCAGCGACTTTGTCCATTTTTTCTTAAAAGATAGACAAATAGCGCACATTTTTTCAGATAATTTAAAGGGAAATCATTCTTTCATACATATTTTTGGGTATCTTGAACCGTTTTCGCAGCGTACGCAACGGAAACCCACAAAAAAAGGTTTCACCATAAAAGTATCTCAAAATGTGCTGTTGACCTATAATGGCGTATACATGCAGTAAAATAAATCATTAACCTTTATTAATTATAACCAGTGCCCAACTGTGGGAATATTAGGTGAAACTGTATATAATTTTATAGTCTCTAGTTTACGCAAACGGTACGCACTTAACGGTTTAAAACGCGAAATATATTAATTAAACTTATTCAAAAACTATTTTAACTGCGGCCCGACGTTTCGGATGCTTTGCAGAAGCCGTGGTCACGGAGGCTGTCCCTCTGACCACGGCTCCTGCAAAGAGGACGGTTTTTAAGTAAGTTTTTTTTTTCAGACGAAGATATGGGATCTGAGACGTAGGACCTGCCTCTATACAATACCAGCTCACGCACATCTTCTTAGTGGTGAGAGTTCTTTTTGATGATTGAGGATGACAAACATGGCATGGGGTTCGCATGATGGTTGGTGCATCTAAACAAAATGCGCTGTCGTCCTATTTTTACTTTAAACATTGGGCCCAATGTTCAAGTATTACGTAAGCACTATAGGGGAGTGGGGGGGGGGTCTTTTTTGCTTATTTTTGATGACATGGAGGTTAGGGGAGTCCAGATGATGATTACGTCATCGATATTTTGTTTACTTTCTGAATCAACTCACTTTCTTATTTTTGAAATTATATAATACTTATAATATAAAAAATACATTTTTAATTGAAAAATGTTTACGTAAGCACGGGGGAGGGGGGAAAGATTTGCTTACTTTTGCCGACTAGGGGGGTGGGGGGGTAAATAATTGTAATAAATCTGCTTACGTAATACTTGAACGGCCCCATTTTAATCCATAAGCTAAAACCGAAACGCGATTAAATTGTTCCGGATTGAATGTCGATACTCCTAGTTCAATATGTTTCAGAAAAATTATAAATTGATTAGCAGCTTGTTGGACCAGGTGGGGATCGAACCCGCGACCCGTTGTTTATTAGCCATACATTGCTACTATTAACGGACAGGTTTAATCAACTTTTGCAGATGTAAGATACCAGCGGAGTCACGGTCACTATCTTTTGACGTCGTCGTATGACAAGACGGCCAAGCTCTGGTCGAACCCAGCTTGGCACCCGCTCAGGACACTGTCTGGACATGACAATAAGGTAAATTATTTTTAAAAAAGACGTACACACACATTTGATACACATGTTTTAGGTATCTTGAACCGTTTTCGCAGCGTAAGCATCTGAAACCTACAGAGTACTGTCTATAGTTTACGCGAGTAGTACACATTTAAATAAAACACTTTAACGGTTTAAAACGCGATATATTAGTTAAATTTATTTGAAAATGATTTTTAACTTCGGCCCGACGTTTCGGATGCTTTGCAGCAGCCGTGGTCACGGGGAGACATTAAAATATCATTTTCAAATAAGTTTAACTAATATATCGCGTTTTAAACTGTTAAAGTGTTTTATTTAAACCTACAGAGATGAAGAATTTCCCCCGTTTCACATTTCTCGCTGTATCTTCGCTCCTATTAGTCACATCACAATGTGTTAAAGCCTATAACCTTCCTCGATAGATGCTTTAACCAACACAAAAAAAATTTTTCAATTCGAACCCTTACTTCCTGAGATTAGCGCGTTCAAACAAACACACTCTTCAGCTTTATATATTAGTATAGATGTATAATTGTTTTGATATTAGGATAGTATGATGTAAGTAAATAGGTACTATCCCTGTGTTGAGACTCCCAATGTTTTCCCTGACGTAGACCCCTTGCAGGTTGCCATAGACCCCAAGGGGTCAATATAGACCACTTTTGGAATCACTGAGTCAACCGTTAGAGTAATTGTATTGTATTATTGTATATGGTTCAATTTACAAACAATTTTTAATTTATGAATTCTTTTTAGGTAATGAGTGCGGACATTTCAATGGACAACAAGTTTATAGCTACATGCTCCTACGACAGGACTTTCAAATTGTGGGCACCTGATTTAGTCTAATATTAAGATTAATAAAGCCTTTTAAAAGTACCTTTTTCTTTCTTAACCTTGATCTGATTCCTGCGGGATCCAACATGTAATAAGTATCTGATATATGTTAGACTCTTGAAAGATCTAGATATTCAATATTTGATGTTAGATGAGGACAGATAAGCATTCACGAAATACCACATATAAAATCTACACAAGATAGGCTGGCAACCTATTTTCGGAAATCTACAGGCTGAAACCAAAGCGATTAAACTTGATGGCTTTTTCATCTGTGCCCAAGGATCGTGACCGGGGCGGAATTTTGATAACACAAGTATCAAGAAACTAATTTAAGGCAAGGGACAACCTTGCAAGGATGTTTTATGGTTAGAGTAGTTCCTTCCATGAAGTGAACTCCATGTCGCCAACCATGTCGAGGACTTTCCATGGCGTTTCCAATGGTCTGTGCAAGCTTAATATAAAAAGAAATGAGAAAAGTGGTTTTTCCTTATTAATATGTTTAGGATAATTGATATCATAATTTAAGGTCTGTAATAAAACAATCATGATTTATTTTGGACTTCATAATTCCTTCAATCCAATATTAATTGTGCAATTATTTAATAAATGGTAATTAAGTCCAGTAGTGGATTTTCGTTTTTTTTTTAAAAACCTCACGACCCGCTGAGCTAAAACGGTACGAATAAACCTCTGCACAATAAAGCAAAAATAAAACATCCTGTAAATGTATAAGGCTTCCACGGCCATCGTTTAGCATATCATTGTTTTTCGGGCTTAAGAATTATTAATACTGCGAGCAATCGAGGAGCCAACATCTCCTGATGTTGCCGTCCGCTCGTGATGGCGAAACACCGGGAACGCCTTCTCGCTCACGTCGACCGAACAGACCTATTTTTCCTCGCGTTTATACCGATTCAAAATAAGCAAGTCAAAGTTCAGAGTAGAGTAGCTTGGAGTAGATTTTTGTAACGCACTTACGAAAGAAGTGAAGAATAGATTTTGATGATATTGTAAAATTACATCAATAAGTGGAACTTGTAAAGTGCTGATTTGTTAAAAATGTTGTTACTATATCGCGAAAGAAATAGTGTATTAATTGTTCTACTTACTTTTATTAAACAGTATAAAAATCATATTCACATTAATTAATATTCAATTTGTGTTCAACAAAAAAGGTTTTACTATTCAATTATTGGCGAAATGCCTCTCTGCTGTTTTTTATTCTGGCAATCAGTTTCATCTGTCACGAGTCAAAACGGGATTTATTTTGATTAGGGACGTCCGAAATGTCGACTTTCCCGAATTTATTTATTCACTCGCATATCATTTTTTATATTTATTTATTAACTTAAAACAATCCACCAGAAAGCCAATTATCCGATTTTGCTTTTGGATCTAAAAAAAAAAAAAAAAATGCGAGCTTAGATTAAAAATTACAAGATTAATTTGTTTTAATATCATCATTGGCTGGTACCATAATTTGTACCTATATCTCTAATCATATTTTCAACTTATTAATTAAACCTTAGATGTGACCTTGGAACTGATAAAGATAAAGGAAAAATCTACAAACTGATGAAGGGAACAAAAAGCTATTTGCTATGAATCACATGCTAGGTAGTATTGACTCATTGTATTGTAATGACGTCATTTGGGATTTCACAGAGAAAAGACGTCTTTTTAAACGACGGTAAATATTTGCAGAATATACTTTTCTCTGCGGCTTTACTCGCATCTAAAAAAGAAACTTATAGCGAGAAAATGGCAAGACAAACAAATATACCTTCATAGTTATATTATCATTATAGACAGTAAACAGTTATCTTAAACTATCTACTTTCGATTAACAAATATTCTCCTTAGTGCTATTTCAAATAATGCGTACTTTAACACGACATCGATTAATGTACAAATGTACTTTCATGTATTGTTATCGTCTTTCTTAATTAAAAGATAAAGATATATTGCCTTATCTAATAGTATTATGTAGTCGATAAATCCTTATCGACAAACGTAAAGGCGAGTGCACATCACTAGCGGACCAGTTTAAATGTCATTGACTTCGGTGGTAGGAGCAGCGTTTGCATTTCACATTTTAAAAATGCATTTTAAAATGTACTCGTAGCGTACAGTTACGCGCCGCGGGCTATCGAACAAATTTTACACTACATTAAGTCTAATTATAGGGAAATAGTTTAGTTATTTTTTATCGCGGCTAGTGTATAGACGTGAATATGGTTATCGAGAAGATTTGCTGCCTCGGCGCTGGTTATGTCGGCGGGCCTACGTGCAGTGTGATCGCGTGGAAGTGTCCAGACATCAAAGTCACGGTTTGCGACAAGAGCGTCGAGAGGATAAACCAGTGGAACTCGGAGAAGCTGCCGATTTACGAGCCGGGCCTCGACGACGTTGTACAGAAATGCAGGGGGAGAAACCTCTTCTTCTCGACAGATATCGCCAAGAGCATACAGGAGGCGGACTTGATTTTCATATCTGTGAACACGCCGACGAAGACAATTGGGAACGGGAAAGGTAGGGCTGCTGATCTGAAGTACATAGAGGGCGCGGCGCGTATGATCGCTGATTTGGCGACTAGCAACAAAATCGTGGTTGAAAAAAGCACTGTTCCAGTCAAAGCTGCCGAAATTATTATGAAAATACTGCGCGCTAACACTAAACCGGGCGTCGAGTACCAAATTCTATCGAACCCAGAGTTCCTAGCTGAAGGAACCGCTATAGATGATTTGGTGGAGGCAGAGAGGGTTTTAATCGGTGGCGAAGATACTCCTGAAGGTCACAAGGCCATACAGGAGCTGTGTTGGGTGTATGAACATTGGATACCAGCTAAGAACATCCTTACTACCAACACTTGGAGTTCCGAACTGTCTAAGTTAGCTGCTAATGCATTTCTGGCTCAAAGAATTTCCAGTATTAACTCTCTATCTGCCGTTTGTGAAGCGACTGGTGCTGATGTATCTGAAGTAGCAAGAGCTGTCGGCCGCGACTCGAGAATCGGTCCCAAATTCCTTGAAGCATCTATTGGTTTTGGTGGTAGTTGCTTTCAAAAAGATATACTCAATTTAATATATTTATCAGAATGTTTGAATCTACCTGAAGTAGCCGCCTACTGGCAGCAAGTTGTGAATCTAAATGACTACCAGAAGAATCGGTTCACTAGAAAGGTCATTGAATCGCTTTTCAACACTGTATCGGATAAGAAAATTGCAATACTCGGGTTTTCATTTAAAAAGAACACGGGCGATACCAGAGAGTCACCAGCTATATGCGTATCCAAGACCTTGTTGGATGAAGGTGCAAAATTACACATTTACGATCCCAAAGTGGAGACAGACCAGATATACTATGAACTAACTCATCCCCAAGTAACTAACGAACCAGAAATAGTGAGAAAGAACATTGAAATACACAGGTCCGCTTATTCAGCTGTGACTGGAGCCCACGCTATCGTGCTGTGCACGGAATGGGACGAGTTCAAGGAACTGGACTTCAAGAAGATATACACAGTTATGATGAAGCCAGCCTACATATTTGATGGACGGAAGATCCTTGATCACGAAGCTCTTATTAATATCGGTTTCCATGTCCAAACTATTGGCAAGAGGTTGTCCAGGACCGGCAGTATAAGGGCGCAGGGCAGTCAGACCTTACCTTAACATGTATATGTGAGTATTATAAAAATTAAATATATAATTACAGTCAAAGCTTCTTATATAGACTTGTAATATAATATAAGTCATGTGTTCATCACTAAAAGGGAAAATGGAAAAAGCTTTGTTGTAAAGGTTTCCCCTCCGGGGGCCTTTTAAAAAATCCCAAAAATTTTTATAAAAAAATTGGACTTTGGGCCCTTTCCCGGTTCCCCCCCCCCCCCCCCAAGGTTTTGGGGGGGCCCCCCCCTTTTTTTTTTTTTCCCCCCCTTTTTTCCCCCCCCTTTTTTTTTTGGGGGGGGGCCCCCCCCAAAAAAAAGGGGGGGGGTTTTTTTTTTTTTTTTTCCCCCCCCCCCCCCCCCCCCGTGCAAGTGGGGTAGGTTTTTTTTTTTTTAAAAAATTTTTTTTTTTTAAAAACCCTTTTTTTTTTTTTTCTCCCCCTTTTTTTTTTTTTTTTTTTTTTTTCCCCCCCCCCCCCCCCCTTTTTTTTTTTTTTTTTTTTGAGAAAAAAGGGGGGGGGGTTTTCCCCCCCCCCCCCGGGGGGGGAAAAAAATTCCCCCCCCTTTTTTTGGGGGGGTTTTTTTTTTTTTTTTAAAAAATACGGGTTTTTTTTTTTTTTTTTGTTTTTTTTTTTTTTTTTTTTTTTTTTTTTTTTTTTTGCGCCCCCCCCCTTTTTTTTTTTTTTTTAAAAACACCCCACCCCCCCCCCCCCCCCCCCCCTTTTTTTTAAAAAAAAAAAAATTTGGGGGGGGTGTGTGGTTTTTTTCTCCCCCCCACACACCCCCCCTTTTTTTTTTTTTTTTTTTTTTTTTTTTTTTTTTTTTTTTTTTTTCCCCCCCCCCCCCCCCCCGGGGGGGGGGGGGGGGGGGGGGGGGGGGGGGGGGGGGGGTTTTTTTTTTTTTTTTTTTTTTTTTTAAAAAAAAAAATTTTTTTTTTTTTTAAACCGTTAATTTTTTATTAAAGTAATTTGTTAATGATTCAGGAATTACTTACAAGTGTTGAATAGTGATGTGTGCATGTTTATACAATTTCACTCTTAAGATCGTATGCGTTATGCAATTCATGAATTATTAATTTTTACGCTTTCTTGATCATATTCAATCGAGACAAAAAGAAAAAATGGAGGGGGTACAGTTCTTAGGGGGGGGGGGGTATATACTATGGCTTGGGACCCGTATTTACCCTTTTTGTATAAAGATTTTCATACGAAAGAGAAAAAGCACTGGAACTGGCACTGGCACTTTGCGGTTTTATGACTGAGATAGCAAGCATGGGGATCACTAGTACTGAAGTACCAATCTCAACAACATGTGTTGTCCGCCTATGTTGACTTTGGGTATTTAATCCATAGATTAAGAACAAAAAGCTTCACGAAAATTCACGGCATTCTCATCTGAGGACGTCAGTTTGTGACACGGACGGAATTTCTTTATTCTTACCACCCAATCAATATCCAGTTCCAGATTAATAAGTATTAGATAAAGTCCAATAATAAACTTAACAAAAATTAATTCCAACATTTATTTGATAGCAGTAATAGTTAATAGTAAGTAAAACATTCAAAAATGGAATTTGTGTACCTAGCTTCTTCGTTCGCGGTGCCTTTGTGCGTTTTTATTTTCTTACTACCCTCATAGAATAAAATAAAAAAGAAACACATCTTCAATCAGTCTTTGGATACAAACATGTGTGGAACACATGTTGCCTTCACAGTAAAAACAGTTCCCTTTCAAACGAATCGACAAAAACAATTCTCGTTAAGAATACAGAGGTTAAGTTACATCCGCCGCGGTATGAGAACGGATGGGTATGTTTCGACGTCTCCTCTGATTACTGAAAATATAATAATGTAAGTCTTACTACTATCACCATGTAGTAGATACATTTCTTTAAAAAAATCAACATTTTAAAACGCGAAGTATATTTTACTTAAATACCGTTTGTATTTAAAGCGAGTTTACAGATTTGAAACATTAACGGTTTAAAACGGGAAGTGTATTTTTATTATACGTTGGGATACAACTTAGCCTTCTTTTGGAAATCTGAATATTAATGGAGACCGTGATGTTAAAGCGCGTTTCGGTTTTAGCCTATAACGGGAGCACATAGGAAATACATATCTACCAATTCCAATGAAAAAACAGTACATAAATGACGGATTTATTCGTGAATAAACACTGAAGAGCATAGATACAAATCAAATTAAACCTCCTTCTTTTTGAAGTCGGTTAAGAAGGATTCTTGTCTATTTTCGTTCATAATAATGGTAAAACCATTTTTTTTCCATTCAATTGTAATTTTACTGTTTGCAAACATTTTTCACACGTTTGTGTAAAAAAGGATTGAACTCGGCACTAACCAATTGAGCTACCGTGTCGTAAACACGACGTGGCCGGCGCCACGGCCCCCGCCCGTGTGTAAACACGACTGGCCGGCTTCCAGGCCCCGCCCGTGTCGTTTTTTTTTTTCAATCTAAATAGATGTTTAATTCGTACCGTTGTACCTAGTCCTCGGTAAACATCATTCTTTTTTAGATGTGGACAGATGTAACATTTACCCAAGATATGCCGTCGTCCTATTTTGACTTTATTCGGAAATTCACAGACTGACGCTTCACGTTTTCATTTGTTGTAAATTGCTTGGGAGAAAAATGTTGGACCTTGCATGGAGCCTGGGACCCGTTGCGATTGGAGTATATTGGTACACGATCTTTCGTGCGCGTTATATTATGAAGAATTAATTATCTTATTTAAGCGCGGTTCCAATGATTTCCGTAAAATGTTAATAGCTGAAACGTGCAATTAAATATCTCGGCTCATCAATGTCGTGTCTTTTCAAGGCAGCCCGCGGATTTAAGGACGTTTTTCTACAGCTTAATTATTACTTGTACGTGACTTAATGGCGGTTCACACGAGACGCGTTCGTGACGTCGCGTTTTTTATCCGTTTGTCAGCGTTCGCGATTAGTTGTCCAGCTTTCGTTATGGATAGGTTAAGATTTCTTTCGGTAAGTAGGTTCAAATTCCAGTGTAACCATTGCTTCTAGCGGCTTGGGATATAGTAGATGGTTTATCGGGCCTGTAAAATTAGTCGGTCAGAGTTAACTTAATAAGTGTTACACTTAATAGGCTTTCAAATGTTTTAACTTGTTTCTTTTTAAATATACTTCACTTATTAAACCGTTTCAATTTTTTTAATATACTTGTTAGAATTCGGTTTGAAATAGTCGTAAATGTATACGTTGTACTAAATCAACTCCTCGCGTTTTCAACCGCTTTGCAATTTATATAATATATCGCCCTAAGATTCAAAAGCATTTCCAAATAAGTTTAACGTAAAAGTCGCGTTTTAAAACGTTAAAGAGTACTAAATGCGTACTTAAACTAAGAAATATAAGTAAACTACACAGATAAAATACTTTCTTTTATTAATTAGTTTACACGAGTAGTACCTATTTAAAAAAAAAAAACATATAACTACTGCAAACTACTTAGAATAAGTTTAAATAATATATATCGCGGTTTAAAACGTTGAAATGTTTTATAAAAAAAACACACACATATGTATCTGTCCTATATACCACATTCGAAGTAGGTGTTTGCCCTTTCTTGCGTGTATTGAGATTCTTAATATTTCTTGCTCGAATGAAATTCGCAGCTGTTTGTCAGCCGCAGTTATGTTTTGTAACATATGAACGCGATTCGTCTGGATGTACCCTCCGGTTTGATTGGCCACAAACAATAAATATGTCACGGCCACGCTTCAATGATGTTTAAAATTGAGTGCATCTAAATGAAACACGCTTTATACAGGGTGTGCTTGTGTACAAACACATTTGTGAAAGGCCCGTCGTGTGTCGAAGATTGTAGACCTTTAACTTACCTAATTGCTTATCGAGCATTATGAGAAAAGTTTATTTTGTCGGGCGTCGGTCGTGTAATGGTCGCCATGTACTGTCAATAATCGACGGGTCGCGGGTTCGAACCCCGCCGGAACATTTTTCCAATCAATTTATAATTATGCTGAAACATGTAACTCTATCTGGAAATCCATCCATCGAGTCCGTCCGGGTCACGAACCGCCGTTCACAGATGAAAAAGCCGTAATGTTTAATCACACTTCGGATGTCGGTTTCTGTGGATTTCCAAATATCCAAAGCCAAAATAGGTCGACAGTACATCTTGTTTGGATGTTATATGGCTTGGTTTGTCCCCCTCTATTATTAAAAATCGCTAACAACATGTCGCGGATTTGATTCCCATCAAGATCAGCATGTTTGTTAGTTATAGCTTAAAACAGAACTGCTTCGGAAGTCCTACTTGCTAATAGTTATTACAAGAACATATTAAAAACTTTACACTGGTAATCGAACCTACGGCCCCATATTTTACAGTCTCGATTCAGATCCTGAATCATTTTTTTTTATTATATTGTCATTTATGTTATATTAATTGCGGGCGATATATCAAAGCGATGTGTATTGTAAAATGTTTATGGTAGATGTTACCTAAATCGCTGTAAAAATTATTAGAATCTTTTATATATGTTTAGATAGTATCAAGTAATTGCTGTTATATGTAAATAACTAGCTGTGTCATCGACTTCTGTCCGCGTAGAGTTTGGGCATCAAAATTTAGTTTTTGCCTCCCTTCATCTTTATAGATTCGAGCTGGTGCCCGGGCGCCGTCGGTCGCGTCTCTCGTTCTTGCAAGTTAATCTTAAGAGATAGAGGAATCATTCTTTTAACATCATATATTCTGGGATATCTGAATGCGTTTTCGTAGCTACGCAAAGGACACCCACAAGGAGGAAATTTTCCCCGTTTTCTTTACATTTTCCGCTGTTTTCTCGCTGCTACTAAGCCTTCCTATAATGCTAAACCAGTAATTCCGGAGATCTTTTTAAACAAACAAACTCTCCAGCTTTATATATTAGTGTAGATTTAGTTGTATAATATGTGACGCGTTTTAAACCGTTAAAAGTGCTCGATTAAATTGCGTACTACTCGCGTCAAGTACAGACCTTTCTTAGCGTCGTGTTGCGTTATTTGTTCGTTTGTCACTCTATTTACCAATGGATGAATGAGGCAACGGTCTTTGCGATTGTGTAAAAACATTCCGAATGGGCTTGTTATGTGTTAATAATGCATGTAATATTACAAAACACCTTTCAAGCATCTCAATTCTCTACACAGTGTGTATACAAACAAACAATATTAAATAAAAGACTTTTAACGGTTTAAAACGAGGTATTTATTCATTTTATTGGACTGTGGCGTTTCGGATGTTTTGCAGCAGACATGGTCACTGTTCTGTAATTTGTACTACTAGTACTACTTGCGGGTACACACATTAAACTATTTTTGAACGGTTTAAAATGGTTTTAAACGTCTTTTGCGTATCAAACCGTTATTTTAAGGCAAGTAAATCGTGGCTTATATGTGGTCTGTGTGACGAAATTTTATTTGAATCTTTTCTCAGGATTTGACCTGTTCCTTGTGCTTAGCTCATAATTGTCGTTTCTATGACCAAATCAGGATTCAGTTAGCAAGATCCCATTTTTAACGGTTTAAAACGCAACCTATATTTCTTATTTTAATAAAACCCAATTTGAGATTTCAAAAGAGTGAAAATATGGCCCATGCTTGTCTTAGTTAACGCGTGTAGTACACATTTAAATAAAACCACTTTAACGGTTTAAAACGCGATATATGCATATTAGTTAAACTTATTAGTTGCAGCCGAAACGTCGGGCCGTAGTTAAAATAATTTTCAAACAAGTCTAACTAATACATATCGCGTTTTAAACCGTTAAAGTGTCTTACTTAAATACTTAAAATGAAGTATATTGTATTTAACACCGATGTTGTGTCACGTGTTTTAATTTGATTTAAAACGAGAATTTACAACGAAATTACTTTACGGTACTATAAAAATCGTGGTACGATAGCTATCAACTAATGACGGGCTGTAAATATTTCCTGTTTGCGATAGTGTTTATCGTTTTGTCTATCGCGGGCGGTCTTTTGTAGATTTGCGTCACATTTGTGTGTGCATATTTGAAGACTAATATTTATACATTAAAAAGTTACGACTCGGGCGGGACTTGAACCGGCGTTCACAGCGTTCCGTGCTGTTGCTCTAATCAATTGAGCTACCGAGTCGTGCGCGTAAATTCCAAATTTTTCAACGTGAAAAATAATTTCAACCTATGGCTATAGAGCCTTCTTCAATAAATGCTTTAAACAGCACAAGACGAATATTTCAATTCGAACCAGTAGTTTCTGAGATTAGCGCGTTCAAACAAACAAACTCTTCAGCTTTATATATTAGTATAGATAGATTCCTTAAACAAGCACTTATTCTAGAAAACTCCAACACCGAGTGTTGATCAAATAGACGTATAATTTATTTCAAACACTTGTCATTACGAAAAATGAGGAATGGTTTGTTTGATCAGCGAGGTGAATTAGTTTTCTAATTTTTCTAATTATTCAGCTGTGTTTGTTCAACTTTATATATGTATTTACAAGTAGAATTTAAAAATCGAAAATAAATTGAAAAAAATTTTCGACTCGGGCAGGACTTGAACCGACATCGTCAGCGTTCCGTGCTGTTGCTCTACCAATGGAGCCTACACGTCATCGTCGAATTTTTTCCACTTATTGCAAATACCCCAGCCATTTACCATTTAAAATAGATTTAAATAAAACACTAACGGTTTAAAACGCGATGTATTAGTTAAACGTATTTGAAAATGATTTTTAAACTTCGGCCAATAGGTTTAACTAATATATCGCTTTTTAAACCGTTAAAGTGTTTTATTTAAATGTGTACTACTCGCGTAAACTGTAGACAGTATTTAAATTAAACTAGATACTAAGTCAACTTACTGTGGCTTAGAATATTCTGAAATCCACATACTAAAACGTGATTAAACTCCATGGCTTTTTCATTTGTGGAGGGTAGTTTGTGACGCGAACGAAATTTCGATACCACCCAGAACCTAATTTCCAAAAGTCGAACGTATCACCAAGTTATAAATAGATGAGACAAATGTTGGACCTGTCGGTTGATTAATAAAGCTTAAAGCACTATTTGGTAACGCTTGTGCTTCTAGACGACCATATATAGGGCTGGAGAATTTTTTTCATCGAGTAATCACCGTGCTCGTCTGTTGTCTTTGTAAAAAAATATCCCGTCCCATCATACATTCAACTCTTGCGCAACGTAATTTTAACACACACTCACGTATGTCTTCTTGTTTCAGATTGCGAGAAGCTGGCTTCATTTCTAACGGATAACGTTCTTCAATTGATTTTGTACGTTTAAGGCAGGATAGATATATCTGAAAACTTTAATATTTTTTAAATCTCTGAGGTAAGTACTTACGGTCATATAAAATTGTCCCATATTTGAAAAAAAATTCGCCTCGGGCGGGGCCTTAACCCCCCCCCCCCCCGGCCCCCCCCCGGGCCCCCCCCCCCCCCCCCCCCCCCCCCCCCCCCCCCCCCCCTTTTTTTTTTTTTTTTTTTTTTTTTTTTCCCCCCCCCTTTTTTTTTTTTTTTTTTTTTTTTTTTTTTTTTTTTTTTTTTTTTTGTAAATATTAATACTTTCGGCATATAAAATGCCCCATAATAATTGAAAAAGCCTCTATTCTATATAACATCTCTATAATATTTTGTATATATACAGGATGTAATGAAAAAGAATCGTGTGCTTTTTCTGTTTTATTAATGTCTTTAAAGAATAATTCAGTGAAAATTGTAACAATATAAAACTGATTGAAACGAGAGTTAACGTCTCAAATTAAAATCATATTTTAACTCGAAGATTACACCCTGTATTAATTTTCAATATTCATCTAAAACTATCGGGACTATTTAACTCAAAACGTCATCAATAAACTCAGTGTTGCCTGTTTTCAAGAAGGCATTAATATTAATTTAATTAGAACAAAGCAATAACTATGTTTTACGATTTTCAGTTGTCAAAATCAAGATTGACAGTGCGATTGTATATTTTATAATGATTGGAATAAGGTTAATTTTTAATTGATGAGATTGTAATTTTATGTAATTTTGACAGCTCACATAAATTATTTATTTATAAGCCAATTGGCTAAGGGTAGAGTGGCCTAATAACAAAACATGATTATTGGGAGGAAAATAAAAATGCGCAATTAATTTAGGCGAAAATGAATTTGTATTATTTGTGTTAGACTTATATTAACAATTTTAGGTGCTTGTGCTCTTGTAGATAAATATTTCTAGATTATAAACATATAAGCCAAGTCATTAAATTGCAGTTAGGCCACTCTGCCTCTAGCGGCGTCAATTTTACCCACTTTGACAACTAACGCGAACTACAGATATAAACGGACTTGTAGTTTGACATATTGCATATTAATGACAGGACACTTAGTTATTTTTTATAATGGCAACTTTTACACGCTATATACTCCCAAGTGTTTTATTTGCATTTGAAACTTATTTGCATATGGTATTATTATAGATAAGTTAACGCTTGACCGGTTTTTATTTTTTGTCTGTGTAACGGCAATTCAAGTTTTTAGCAAGCGAACACTGTCTCGTGGGTGCTGTGAATAACGTATTAGGACAGAACCACGAGGTCCCAGGTTCGAATCCTGGGCCGGGTGAAAAGTAAATTTGGTATTTAGATTTTCTAGTTGGTCCTAGTAGGACCCGGTTTTGGTGCCAGGGATTTGAGGGGAGTGAGGGTTGCATTACCATCGTTAGTCTCAGTTATCATCAGAAATTGAGTGGTGGTAAAGTTACAGCCCACCAACCCGAACTGGAGCAGCGTAGTGGGTCAAAAAATATCCTATGCACCCACCATCCCACCGTGGGACGTCAATAGGTTGAAATAACTCTTAAATAAAATACAGTGAAGTCTTTTTAACTATTCAGCCGTAGGTCGAGTGTACGGGGTTCTATACCCCGACTGTGCACTAATATTGATTTTATGTATTTCTTTATAAGTACTGCGTTAAACTTGTGTCATCTATCACACCGAGGATTGGGACCGTAGATAACCACGAAGATGGCTATAGTCCCAGCTGTGGGATGGGCGTGCTATTTATAGTCGATTCAAAATAGAAACTGGTCGAACTTTTAATATTATTTAGCTATTTAAGTATCATAGGATTATATTTTTTTATATTCTTTTATTTTAATCTTGGATGTGTTTGTATATCTAATTTTAACAGTGATCTTTGTATAAAAGTACGGCCAGCAGAAAAAAAAAAGCTTTGCTTCAAAGTTCTAACGATCGACCAATGAGTCGCGGGTTCGACTCCCGCCGGCTCCAGAGTAAAATAGTCCAGCGTATGCAAAAATATGTCACGAAAGAATCCACGTTTTCTGAGTATCTGAGACTCTTGTTCTGGTGTTACTAGCACCTTCTACCATGTGAACGTCATAAAAAATATGTTTAACGTTTTTAATATATTTAAACTATGTATTTTATATTTAATGTACCTATTGATTCTTTAAAATAGGCACAGGCGGGAATCGAACCAGCACCACATATGAAATTCAAATCTAATATAAAAAGAATTGAAGTTAGTTCTCGCCTGTGTCTGAATTTAGACAGGACAGACAATTTCACTGTATATATGTATTTTTTACTGCCAAGTGAAATTATTAAATTAATCTAGTTCTAGGTTTTTATAAGTTGAATGTAGACATAGTCTTCAGTCCGTTGTATGGTATATTTTAAAACCTGCCTCGCTCTCTTAGTGTCGGGCCTCAAAAGTGCTTCAAAACCAAGACAACGAACATGTTGCATATTAATAAAACTTAGTTTGACTGTTCGTAATTGAGAAATAGTGAGTCAACATCTGATGATAACGCAAAACTGTAAGAGTAAAACATTTTAAACGGCTTAAAACGCGAAATATATAAGTTAACTTATTAGTTTCCTTGTGATCGCGGCTGCTGCAGAGAAACTGAAACGTCGGGCCGTAAGTTGAAATATTACATAACTTACATATTTCCTGTTTAAAACCGTGTTTATATACATTTCGGTTAAAGAAATTCGGTGTGAATTCAAATAAAACACTTCTAAACGGTTTAAAACGTGTGATATATTTGTAATTTTGTACAATTTATTTTAACAACGGCCGTTCGTTTCGGATGCTTTGTAGAAACTGTGATTACGGGCCCCCGTTAACTAATATATTTCGCGTTTTTAACCGTTAAAACTGTCTTAATTGTGTCCTACTCGCGTAAACTACAGACAATACTTAACCATTTCTCAATAACAGTAGATACAATTATAAATTCACGAATGTCAAGGACTCCACGCAACTTCGATATTGTAAAATTTACTTAACGGCATATTGTGAAGGAGTAAACAAATATTTTTACTGTATTTTGTTAAGAATAAATTATATAAAGAAGCTGTTTTTTTATTTTATGATCAGAAATGTGCCACGGGTGAGACTCGAACGCGGTACCTAGACGTGTACCTACTCTTACGGTGGTTTGAGAAGTAACTAACAACATTTAACGGTTTGAACCGCGATTTATATTAGTTAAACTTATTAGAAAGTAATCGAAATTAAAAATTATTTTCAAAGTTAACTAATATATATCGCGTTTTAAATCGTTGGAGTCGCGTAAACTACAGACAGTGTTTCAGTAACTAAAGTATCAAAACATACAACATTTTTTCTCTTCATTCATTCTAGTGTCTGTAACTATAATTATTTTTTGTTATTTTCAAAAGAGTACTCACGCCTAAACTGCTGGGTCGATTTTGATGAAATTTTTCAAATATCCTCAGAGCTGTCCTAACTACATATTACATCTGTTTGGCTTTGGTAGCTAAACGGTTAAACGTGTTGCCTACATTTCGTTAAACGAGAGAGTTCCTAGGTTCGAATCCCGGGGAAACAATAGATTGTTTCGGTGTGTCAGGGCACAGAAGTTTGATCACATGACAGAAGTATTGACTGTAAATAAAACCGATCAGTGAAACGGACACAGAAATGGGTTCGCCCCATGCCCCAAGGGGCAACGGGAATTGACATAGCCGTGTAATTCTCTAAAGCAAACATATTGTTTTAAAACCATAGTCGCGTGCGCATTAAACCTATATTAATATATAATGCTGAAGAGTTTGTTTGAATGCGCTAATCTCAGGTACTATTGGTTCGAATTGAGAAATTATTTTTGTGTTGGTTAGAGCATTTATCGAGAAAGGATATAAAACATCGACATGTGACTGATAGAAGTGAAGACATACCTTTGTCTTTGTGGGTTTCCGATAAGGGCGCTACGCTGAAAACAATTCAAGATACTCAAAAAATATGTATGACAGAATGATTCCTCTGTAAATGATCTAAAAAAATGTCCGCGACACTATTTGTCTATCTTTTAAGATTAAACTTGCAAGAACGACGGGATGCGAAGAGTAAATCAATTATTTGTATTTTAAATTACAAATTTTACCTATGTCTTTGTTACGAATAAATTACGCCAGTTTGACGATTGTAAGCAATAATCCGGATACGGCAACGTACTTCCGTTAGCCATGAGGTGGTGGATTGGTAGGGGGATTGAGTGGGGCAAAGTAGCCTGGGAGTTCCATCACCAAAAGGACTTTAGGCAAGAGAGGGGCTTTCAAACAAACTCTTCAGTTTTCTACATTAGGTAAAGATTAGAAACGGAGTCGCGTGCGCAGCTACCATAGATAATAATTAACATTAAATACGCATAAATCTAGTGTTAATTTAGTTACATTCGTTAACCTATATAAAGGAAATGTCATTTCCTGATGAACTCTTATTAATTGAGGATTAGGCAATTAACACTAATTTTATTGGAAAAACAAATGTCGAATTTCGGTCGTAAAAGGCGTATCAATAAATCTTTATTAGTTTAAATTGTACCCGTTTTAAATTGTATCTGTGAAAATGAAATACTGTCATTGACATTTAAATAAAACACTTTAACGGTTTAAAAGGATATATTAGTCTCGGGTACACGGCTGCTGCAAAGCATCCGAAACGTCGGGCCGCAAGAAAATCATTTTTTAAATAAGTTTAACTAATATATCGCGTTTTAAACCGTTAAAGTGTTTTATTTGAATCTGTGAAATTGGCTTATTTTAATTGTAATGGTATATGCCACTAGCTGTGTCAGCGACTTCGTTTGTATTGAATAGTTATTTTGGGCGTCCAATACATTTTCCAAACTTCATCTTTATAAACCAAAGCTATTGCCCACGACGTCGGTCGCGTCCCTTCCCGTCGTTCTTGCAAGTTAATCTTAAAAGATAGACATATAGTGTCGCGGACATTTTTTTACGATAATTTAAAGAGGAATCATTCTTTCATACACAATTTTAGGTATCTTGAACCGTTTTCGCAGCGTAGGCATCTGACCCAGAGAGATGAACTTTCCACAGTCCACTTCTCGCTGTATCTTCGCTATTAGTCACAGGACGATGTTTTATAGCCTTCCTCGATAAATGATCTAATCCGAAAAGATTTTTAATTCGAACCATAGTATTCCTGAGATTCGCGCGTTAAAACAAACAAACTCTTTAGCTTTATATATATATATAGTATAGATCATGTTTTTGTTATTAGGCCACTATGGCTCTAGCAGCCTTTCTCCTCAATGAAACACAAGACGAAAAATTGCTATTTCTTTATTAAAAATTACATTATAAACGTCTCCGTTGAAAATATCTCCAAAATAACTTCAATAATAATAATAATCAATATACAGACGAAGAATTAAATTAATTTAGGCTGCCACTATCACAACAGAATCGCTTCGTATCTGCGACGCTTCAACAATCAAATAAGGAAACGTTTAACTGACATAGTTCGCGTTTTAAACCGTTAAAGTGTCTTATTTCAACTTCAATAATCGTCAAACATCATCGTTCCCATCTGCTTCTAAAGAGAACGAGAAAGAAATAAAATTCACTGTCTGCGGTTTACCGAGAAGGTTTGAAACGTGGAACTTCAGGCGTAAATTAATATAATTTATAAATAAGTTATCGTTTTATGAAAAAAAATTATTTTCGAATCCTTAGATAGAAAAATCTTTTCAACGGTTTAAAACGCGAAATGTAACAGTTAAACTTAACCAGGCCCGACGTCTCACTCCACCCAGGGGTGGAAGCCATTATTTAGAACATTATTTTTATGACATGAAAATATATAAGCGTGGGGCTCTCTTGATGGTGGGTGCAATACCTCAGCCGAAACATCTAAGCAAGATGCGCGGTCGACCTATTTTGCCTTTGCATATACGGAAATCCACAGACTGAAATCCAAAACGCGATTAAACTTCAGAGCTTTTCGATCTGTGGACGTTGATTCAGGACCCGGATGAAATTTCCATATTCCAACCATCCAATTAATATCCGGATTTCCAGACGGAGTCCAACAAGTATCAGGGAAAATATAAATCAATCAGAAACACATGTCATCCCGGCGGGGATCGATCTATTGATTAGTCATTGTCACCATTAAACCAACGGGCCCGACAGCAGATCACGAGAGAATCGCAAATACAAAGCCTTAAATTAAAAAAATAAATGCTCCAATCGTCCGATGAGTATTTTATTTACAAACGAAAATGTCTGATTTTCGTAACATCGCAGCGCCACTGCGGACTAGACGTTTGTGAAAAATAAGGGCGTTTGTACGCGAGCGACCGCCGCGCGACTATTAAACGCAGACGTAGACAGTAAAAATGTTAAAAGAATACCGATTAAATACTGTCTGTAGTTTATGCGAGTAGCGCACATTTAAATAAAACACTTTAACGGTTTAAAACGCGATATATATTAGTTGAACATGTTTGAAAATTATTTTACCTACGGTCTCTTCGAGAGACGGCAGCTGTAATGCATCCCAAAAATCAGGTCGTAAAATAAGTTTAACTAATATATATCGCATTTAAAACCGTTAGTGTTTTATTTTAAATATGAGCTATATTAGAAATGGACACGGTAGCTCAATTAGTAGAGCAGCAGCTTAGCATTGTTTTTTTTCTTAATGGGAATTGAAATTTTAGTTTTAAAAGTATTTGCACAAGATTAGATTAAATTCGACGACGGACACGGTAGATCAATTGATTCGTGCAACAGCACGGAACGTTGTGGATGCCGGTTCGAATCCCGCCCGCGCCCTAAACTAATGTTTAAATGTGAAACATATCACTAATATATATTGAATAGTGTAATTAAAAACCAATGACAGGTTTCATAAACTTATTATACAAGTGAAAAAGACAAAAAAACAATATATAGGCAAAGTGTCCGAGATATAGCGATCCGTGTCCTCCCCCCCCCCACAAACACATTGGTAAAAGTCTTCTCATCTGTACGTGATGGTCTTTTGATTAAAATTTTACAATAATTTAAAATAAGTCGCAATTTAATCGCTCGCGTATGATCCGCCTAACACCTGTTGAATCTTGAACAAGCCGCTGATATGTCCACAAATAATTCTAAATAAATACATATAATACTACACGATAGAAACGTAAGCTGCACCTTTCCAAATCTAGTTTACCTACTACACATATACACTCGCTTGCAACTCCGGTTAGAAACGTACCGACTAGTTGCCAGCGAGTGTAGCAACTTTCCGATACATTATTACCCTCATTAATTTTGAATTAATAATTTCTACGTATACATCTTGTTCGACTGGCAACCCTACTTTCCAGTTGCCATACTCATATAAATACGTCAACGCATTGCGTAGTAAAAATAAAAACTCTACGACTCATTTCCATTTAGTGTGTGGTTCGGTGTTTGGGTGTTATTTTATTTAATTTTCACACATTGCAACTTCATTTTAAATATTATTGCCAGCAGTACTTATAAATAAAATAATTATAACGGTTTAAAACGCGAAATGCATTCGGTAACTTCTAACTCCCGTGACCACGACTGTTGCAGTAGAAGTAAGTTAAATAATACATTTTGCGTTTTGAACCGTTCAATATGTTTAATTTTATTAAGATAGCGGAATATTGTAAAAAAGGTTTTATAAAATAACCCCCAAACCCCGTACAGCTCGGTATAAATACTAGTACCTACAGCACCTACCTAGCGTAAGACCTAACTAGAACTAACGTATTCACAATCTAGACCTTATTTGAATATACATAAAACTGGTTATGGCATAAATTGAACTAAATTAACACGACCACTGATTTAAATGCGATTAAAAAAAATTGACAACTGATAATGACAATATTTTAAGTAGATTGACCGTCAAAACCGACATTTGACAATGACAGACGTAAGTCCGTCAGTGTCATTGTTCTTTGTAGTGTATTTTTTCTTACTTGGAATTTTGGTAAACAAAAACACAATTTACATGAAATCCTGATTTTCTCACAAGGTTTTCATTGATTCACTCCAAAAACACTTCGAGACATGGGATTATATATTAAACTAATAAACTACCTCAAATTCACTTAGTAAGAATCCTAGAAATGAATTCATTCAAATGCACAGAATATAATTTCTTTAGTTTGACATTGACATTTACGACAATAGAAGTTCCACTCATGCTCGATCAAAAGCGTTACGAACGTCGAATCATGATAAGAGGTTGTTTGGTCCATATATAATCGATATTTCCTTAGCCCTGTATCATCTGTGGCAAAAACTTCACTCTATAAAAGGTCATCACTAGTTCTCTATGGTTTGAAATCGGCCATGTTTGTTGTGGTCTTTTGCCAAGATAGAAAAAATACACTATTCAAATTGGACCATTTCAACTTGCTTTAAGTTTACGCCACGTGTCGTTTTAAATGTTTATTGATTACTCATGAATCACTGTCAAAAGTAAAATATAATAGTTTCCAATTAAATGCTCGCGAGTGTACGTATAAATATAAAATGGCACGTTTCAATTGCGTGTATACAAAATGTAAAACGACATTTCACATAATATTCCGAATCTAATCCGTTTTTTTAGGATAGGGATTAAACTAATTTCGTCCATTCCCGGGGGTTTTTGGGCCTTTTTTTTTTTTTTTTTTTTTTTTTTTTTTTTTTTTTTTTTTTTTTTTTTTCCCTTTTTTGGGGGTTGGGGGGGGGGGGGGGGGGGGGGGGGAAGGGGGGGGGGGTTTTTTTTTTTTTTTTTATATTTTTTTTTTTTTTGGGGGGACACTTTTTTTTTTTTTTTTTTTGGGGGGGGGGGGTTTTTTTTTTTTTTTTTTTTGTTTTTCCCCCCCCCCCCCCCCCCCCCCCCCCCTTTTCCCCCCCCCCCCCCCCCCCCTTTTTTTTTTCCCCCCCCCCCCCCCCCCCCCCCCCCCCCCCGGCCCCCCCCCCCCCCCCCCCCTTTTTTTTTTTTATATAATTTTTTTTTTTTTTTTTTTTTTTTTTTTTTTTTTAAAAAAAATATTTTTTTTTGGGGGGGTTTTTTCCCCCTCTCTCTTTCTCTCTTTCCTCCCCCCCCCCCCCCCCCCCCCCCCCCCCCCCCCCCCCCCCCCCCCCCCCCCCCCCCCCCCCCCCCCCCTTTTTTTTTTTTTTTTTTTTTTTTTCCCCCCCCCCCCCCCCCCCCCCCCCCCCCCCCCCCCCCCCCCCCCCCTTTTTTTTTTTTTTTCCTCCTCCCCCCTTTTTTTTTGGGGGGGGGGGGGGGGGGTGGTTTTCCCCCCCTTTTCCTCTTTTTTTTTTTTTCCCCCCTCCTCCCCCCCCCCCCCCCCCCCCCCCCCCCCCCCCCCCCCCCCCCCCCCCCCCCCCCCCCCCCTTTAAAAAAAAAAAAAAACACCCCCCCCCCCCCCCCCCCCCCCCCCCGGGGACACAATAAAACGACATTTAATAATGAATAATTTCGCTTACACTAAATTAATACGGTTATCCTTATTTGGCAGTAGCGGACTTTTTATAACCTCGTCCTGAAAAACAGATTGAAAAGCTGTTAGAAAAAAATAAATAGATAGAAAGAATCGATTAAAATAACAAGTGCGGGCCTCGAACCTAGAACGGCAGTCATGCAAGAGCATAACTCATAGGAACCAACTGAGCTATTTTAACACACGGTCGTAAGTTCGAGACCCGCTATTAACATATAACTTTTGTAGTCTGAAAATAACTAACATCCGTAATATATAAAAATCGATGACACCGGCAGGACTCAAACCAAGGACCACACTTACCAACTGAGCTACAGTGACACATGGTCGTGAGTTCGAAACGTAGTCCGAATCCGTAAACACTCACCGTTATAGGAACAGCACGGGTCGCTCGTGGGCCCTGTCTGAGCCGCTCGAGTGGGACCTCCTTGTGCCACCACCACCACCCCCTCCCCCCTCAACCACGCTCGTCCCGGACCCGCTGGACGTCGATTTCACTTCGCCCTCGCGGTTCGCTGTTGGTAAGAAAATGTAAAATTATGCGTCTGTATTTTACTGCAAAAAATCTTTGATCGTGAGAGAAAAACCGTAACATGATATGGTACTTTCAACTTCCTCGCACAGAGGAGCGAACTTTCTGTGTCCGTCTCACATTTGCCAAGTAGATGACCAGGTGTTTAATTTCAGTTTTACCATAATACAAACCTGTAAATTCTAACCTAGAGTCCCACTCCCTTCGTGCAAGAGCGACACCTTGCCATAGTTGCTATAACTTCGGCATACTGCCCGACTTATTATATTTCCTCGGGATTCAAACCATCTCTATTGAGAGATGGTTTGAATCCCGAGGAAACATAATTGGGTAGACAAGGCTATTTAACCATGATCTCACACAAAGTTAGACAAAGCTATTTAACCATAATATCGTATAATTTTAAACAATGCTGTTTAACTACGATCTCATTCAATGTTAGACAAGGTTGTTTAACCATAACCTCGTATGGTTAAACAGACTTCAACCTTCAATAATCTGTCTGTTGATTACGCGAGTAGTACACAATTAAATAAAACACTTAAACGGTTTAAAACGCGAAATATATCAGTTAAACTAATTTGAAAATTATTCCACAGCGTTTTATTTAAACATATGAATATTTTTTATCCTCTTACCTGCTGGATCTTTAGCTGGTAGGTGATCTGAACCGGCGCTTGACCCACCGCTACCAGACATAACGCTCTCTTCGCGGTTGTAACTGAAAAAATCCACCAATCCATTTAGCATGAATAACAAAAACAGTTCTATTTACTTAATGTGATATTCATATTAAAGTAAGTTTTTGATGATGTTTGTTACTGTTTTATCCTGTAACGGCTGGACTGATAGTGATTAAATTTGGCGTCAATGTAGTTGATAACATGAGCCCTATTATACAATAATAAGATTTTTATTCGCTACTACTGCCTTGGGGCTTAGTAGCCCTAACGCCGCTACAGGTACAGAGGTACAGGACTCACCCATAAATGGTATGCTCGCTGGTAACGCAGGAGCTGTACTTGAAGGGTATCGGCTGATAGCCGTACGAGCCCGCGTACGCCATGTAACCGGGACCCATCATGCTGAAATATAAATATAGGTAGAAAGTCGACTATAAGACGCAGGGACGTTTAAAGGTGGGGGGGATCAACCCAAGTAAGTAAGTCAATATGGACTTACTCGATGATTGACTTATTAATTATTGTCGCTTGGTTGGTGGCGTGTACTGAAGACATTTATCACCCCCCCCCCCCGCCCCCAGGAAAAAAAGAATCTAGATTTATCCTAAATGTACGAGTGCATGGGTGCGTGTATGTGTTTGAAATATGACATCTCAGCAAAACGCGCCATCGACCTTATTGTGCGTATTGTGGCTTCCGACATTCGGAAAACCACCGACTGTAACCGATCGCGATTAACGCGACGGTGGTTCGTAACCGGGACGGTATTTCGATATTTCTACCACCGATTTAATCCACATTTCCAGACGAAGTCCGGAATATAAAAAACAAAAAATCCCGTCAACTTCTTAAATATAGTACTTACTTGGGGTTGGGCAGCGGCGCGAGCGTGTCGCTGGCGAGGCTGTCCGCGTCCGGCTGGCGCAGGCGCAGCGCCGCCATGTCCGCGCACAGCTCGCCGGCCACGTAGTAGCACTGCTCCGAGAACGTTATCTTGTTCACCGTGTGCCGGATGAAGCCGGCCTGGAAGTATTACCAAGTCAAAATTAGATCAATTGCACTCATTGCGGGGGGGGGGGGGGGGAGACGCTCCTGTGCTCTAGCCCCATCCCCCCGGGCACGGCGGAGGGGGAGGAAAAGCAATGGCTCAGTTGTGCGAGTAAAGCAAGTTGTTCTTTAGCAAACACATGTTTGTCCATTGCACTGAATGAATTTACACAAGTATTCAAGTATTGTCTGCAGTTAACTTATTTTCTTCAGGGAAACATCGGTCCGCAGTTGAAATAAGTAAACTAAAACTGGGATTTCAATTCCAGGGAAAATAATAAATTACTCCGGTCGTGCGGGAAACGGAAGTATGATTGACTACTTTTTGAACCGCGAAATGTATTGGGTCACTTTTTTAAAATTTATTTTAAGTATTGCCTGATGCTTTGCAGCAGCCGTAGTCACGGCGGGGAGACATTTCACGTTTATAAACCGTTAAGTGTTCTATTATTTAGATTGTTCTAATATTAGCGTAACTATAGACAACACTTTATGTCATTAATCAAAACACACACACGCACGCGCACACACAAACACACCTGACAGCGACAACTTACCTTTAGCATATGCGACGCATATTTCCTTGCATCCCGTCTGTCCACGATACCGGCTACATGCTGCAGGATCCAGTCTACCACATCGGCTCCAATAAACGCGTTCGGAATGGTTATCTTCAGCCACATACGGTCGCGGATCTCGAGGCCTGGAAACGACGATGTGACGTTAGCTTATGTACACGGTAGCTCGATTGGTTACAACAGCACGGAACGCTGCGGATGCCGGTTCAAGTCCTGAACGTGTCAATTTTTTTGAATTTTATTTAATTAACGTTACTAAGAGGGTGGTCTATAATCTTTGTCCTGAAAAGGGGTTGATGATTGCAATGTTTGACTGAAAATCAACAGACAGTCAGTTCGATACCCATTAACTCTAATGTTTCAAAAAAAATTTAAGTTTTTATAAAAAAGACTGTGTTGACAATGTGAAAATTAAACATCCATCCACCCATAATCTAATGTCATATGAGAAAGGCCGTGAATTATAATCGCGTTTCGGTTTCATTCTGTGGATATGAGAATGCCCAATGCCAAATAGCTCAACAGCACATCTCGCTGAAGTGTTATATGGCTATACTATTTCACCTTCCAAATAAACCCATGCTTAAATACTGTCAATAGTTTACGCGTGTAGTATACATTTAAATAAAACACTAACGGATTAAAACGCGATTAATACTTTGACACCGGCAACACAAAGTTTGACAGTGCCGCTAGTTCTTAATTTTTTTAGTTAATTATTAAACAATACTCACCAGAATCTGGCCTCAACATAGCCCTAACCACCAGCGCCATATCCATGCCAACAGACAGCTGGGGCTCGTGGGCGGGAATCGAACCCGCATCCGACGCTCTTTCCGGTATGGTTGGCGCCGGCAGGGTGGATAACGGGGGTGGTGGATACGCTTCACGCAGCGCTTGTGTGTGCGCGACCCAGGCGCCTGGAATAATGTATATGTGAATTAGTTGTTTGGCAGATTATAAGTTAAGTACTGTCTGTAGTGTACGCGAGTGATACACATTTACATAAAACGATTTAACGGTTTAAAACGCGAGATATATAAGTTAAGTTATGATTGATGCAAAGCATTCGAATCGCCGGGCTGTGATTAAAATAATTCTCAAATAAGTGTAATTAATGTATATTCGCGTTTTAAACCGTTTCATGAGTCAATACTATTCAAGACGTTGTTAACTCGAGTACGCATCTATATGATACACTTTTAACGGCTTAAAATGCAAAATCTATTAGTAGCTTAATTTTAAATAATTCTAACGACGGTCATCAGTGGCTACGGGTGCTGGCTGTAAAGCATCCAAAATGTCAGGCTGTTGTTAATTTTTATTTAAAAAGTTTATACATTTCACGTTTAATACTGTTAATATTTAAGCCATCAGTAAAAAACAATCAATCATTAAAAGAGACACAGGGAAAATCGGATTCGAGGATTCGATTCCTGGTTGGGCAGAGAAAGTGATTCAGTTGGTTAGTGCCACCCCCATTCGCCATTTTTTCTAGAACCAAGTAATTTTTACATCAAAAACACTTACTCAGACTTACTCTTTACTTATAAAAAAACACTTATTGACTTATTGCCAGTTCGATTCTAATTCCGTGCCTGTCTCAAATCATAACAACCAATTCTTATTTGTATATAATCACCAACCACCTCTGTAGCCAAATTGTTAAACGTGTTGCCTAGTGTAGCCCGAGGAGAGGTCCTGGGTTGAAATCCCAGGGATACAAATATTGTTTCGATCTGGCAGGGCACAGTGATCAACTACTTGACAGTAGGAAAACGTATCAGTGAATCAGACACAGAAGTGTGTTCACCCCATGCCCCATGAGGGGTAAACATAAGGTTTTACTTTTTGTTAGACACACTGGATTCTCTCACCTGGATCTATAGGCCTGACGGGCTCCGTCCGTGGGATGGTGAAGTATCCCTTGGGATTTGGATCCCAGCATTTTGCCACCACCAGCTTAATGGGTCCCGGCTTCTGAACAACCTCGCGCAGTACCCTCACCGCTTCATCATTGGTCATATCTTCGAAGTTGACATCGTTTACCTGAAGAGAAAGGCGATTTTATTATAACGTCTGTTTCCAGGCTCATAGACAACATGCTAAAATAAGTTGACAGCACAACTTATTGAAGTGTCCTATAGGATTAGGATATCTTACATTGAGGGAAGTAAGCAACAGCACTTTATGCCCTGGGTAAAGAGAGAGTCAAATAACATATAGGAACTGATAATATGACCGAGGATAATATTAAAGAATTAAGAGTGGTTCATATTAAGATTCTGCAAAGAAACCGGAAGGTTTAAAGAAGACCCAGTGAGAATTTGATAACAATGTCTTCTTTGAAGGGAGAATAGGGATACGAGTGAAATGGTTAGTAGACAATGTGGACTGATCACCCGATCATCTAACGGTGTCCCAAATAGAAAATAATAACAACATAGGGACATTCCACATGGTAACTGTACTTTCATAAACTTGTGTCTCGTTCTGACTTAATAGTATGTATTATTTTTTTGTCTAAAATTAAGTATTAAGTATTTTCTAAGCCTACCAATTAATATTAATATTAAACCAAAATTAAGCAAAATGTGTGTCTGTCGTTTAAGCTTGTAGTACACATTTAACGGTTTTAAACGCGAAATACCTTTGTTCACTCATTAACGAGGAGTCCAGCGTGATCACTGCTGCTGTAAAGCATCCGTAACGTCCAACGGTAGTTAAAATAAATTGTACATAAGGTCAATAATTTATTTCGCGTTTTAAACCGTTAATCAGTTTTATTTTAAATGTGTGTGTGTATACACAAAATTTCGCTCTTTTTTTATAGATACATATTGTATGTCTCTGAACATGTACGTTACAGCAAAAAGAATTTAGTTAAATAACAATTATTTGTATATTCAGTTGAAATATGCTTTGATCATATGTTAAGTAAATAAAACATTAAATAAATTTTAAATAAGTAGTAAGATAAAATGTAGGCTATTTAATAATTAAAATTCTCAATCTGCTTAAATACTGTCTACAGTTATATGTCTGTACACATAGTAGTAGATACACTATCTTTAAAATTTGTTATCAGTGATAACAATTCTCTTATCAGTAAATTCTCATTTTGATTTTGTTTAAGAAAATATAGTGAATATAATAGCTTAATCAAAGTTATAATAAATCACACACAAAAGAAAAAATCTGTATATTTTACCAACTTAAAGAAGTTTTAATTATTATAATAAATATTTTTGAAAAATTTTGAGAATACGTGAAATACCACCTAAGTGTGAGTTAGATTTGCAATCAAGTGGTCCTATAACATTGAATTTGTAAAAGATATTGGGTTCAAAACCGTAAAAACACAACCTGCCAGGTGAAAATTACCTTGCAGATATAAACAATACATGTCTTGTATGTCTGATAGGTTGTTTGTGTAATGGTAGCAATGTATGGCTAATACGCAACGGTTTGTGGGGTTGATCCTCGTGGGGTGCAACATTTATTTAATAAATTTATAATTTTACTAAAACACGTTGGACTTTATCTGGAAATCTGGATTTATATGGGTGGTAGAAATATTGAAATTCAGTAAGGATCACAGATGAAAAGGCCATCAAGTTTAATTTCATGTTGGCGTTAGTCTTCGGGGATTCTTAATACATCAAAAATATTTATGATAGGTCAACAGCCTTGGTTAGATGTTATATTTCTTCAGATACCATCATATTAACCCTATACTTGTCTCTTCTCATCATAAACAAAATTCGTAATAGATCCCATTAACAAAGACCAATTGTTTATTAGTATTTCAGAATACAAGATAGGACCACTAAAGGGTGAAAGTTAATTCAGTAAGAAAATAGTATTGATAAATTGACATACCTGTAAAATCATGTCTCCAGGTTCAATTCGGCCGTCCAGAGCCACCGCACCACCTTTCATTATACTCCCCACATATATCCCACCATCTCCGCCTTTATTCGATTGGCCCACAATTGATATCCCAAGAAAATTCACAGTATCCATATTGAGAGTCACCGTTATTATATGCATGGACATAGTGGAATCTGTGATAGACGAGTAGGAAGATGTTCTAGACATAACCTGTGGACGTTTCCGTCGGCGCTGAGGGCGTTTTCGCGAGCTCACTTGGAGGTGGGAGACACTAGAACATTCAGTTAAAGCTCGATCGACTGAGGCATTTGTGTGCCTCCCAGTGGTAGTTGTGATCTCCGATTGGCTGTCGAAGAGGCTGGTTGAATCTAAATCAGAACTCAGAACTGACGCAGTCTCGTACTCTAGACCATGATTGTACTTTGAGTGGCCATTGATTCTAAGGCCTCTGTATTTATACTTGTCACAAGAAGCTCTGTGCCCAGGTCGGGAGCTGATTGTGCTGTCCGTGTCAGTACAAGTGTCTCGTGTGACAGGCGCCGCTGGTGCTGAAGGCTGCTTCGTTTTGCCAGGATTGCTATCAGTGCACTGAGAAGCTCCATCCGATGGATTCGAGCCTTCCGCGGACACTAACCACGACACTACACGACCGTTGAAGCACGGCAGATGCGCGTTATCATCCACTATCTCCTCTTTCACGACACCGAAATCATCGTCCATGGATTTAAAGAAGAATTTATAGTTAGGTCTGTTTAATTGGTTTTTGAAGTCCAACAAAGTCACTTTCTCCGGTGAAATCGGAATTTTGACGAGGTAAGGCGTCTCCTCGTCATCTATGTAGTAAATTACTTTCGTTTCCTCCATTTTAATGCATTTATTATTAAATTCTAACAACACCCTACGATCTATAAATATCAGCCGCCATCACAAAAATGGCGATTGATCTAGTACCGTACACAAACGCTTCACAGTTCGTGGCGCTAGTGACTTCAAAAATAAATAACTTTAAACCAAAGCTATTATTGAACAAGTACAAAGAAAACATATTTGTCACATTATACAAATGAAAAATCCTAAAAAAATATAAAACAATAATTTAATTAAAAACATTTGCTTTCAACCTTCTTCTTCTTCTCAGCTTTTTTTACCATAGAGTATACAAAACTGACTTTGACGTAACGTTGACATATTTAAGGTTTTAGCTGTACAATTACGGTTAGAAATGAAGATTTAAATCAACTTATAAACAAACTAAGAATTTAAGTTGGTTATTGTATTAGGTGAATAAAATATAAATAATGGGTCTAGATATTGGAAGTGAAGTTTGGCTTTCAGATATAATAGAAGATCTAAATGCTATATGCACTGAAGTGGATGGTAAAATAACATTTTAAGTTACAAAAATAAAAACATGATAATGTTTTGTATTCTTCTATCTCTCGTCTCCCTTTCTTTACAGAGAAGTTAGAAAATAATAAAAAGCAACGGAAGATGTGCAAGCGTCGTATTGAATTGGAATCACAGCATGTAAGTATAGTCAATTCGAAGTTGATGTTGAAGGAAAAGCTATCCTTATTCCTGACTATCGTATTTTCACTCCATAATTCGTTGCTTCTCCACTCCATACCCATGCCTTGCTTATCTCAGTGCTTTTTTTCCTATTTTGTGTATGTATTAGTATCTTTACTTTTACTTTTTTGGGCCCTTATTCTATATTTCGTTCATCTGTGTCCATAAAATTTTATCAAAGATCTTTGTGGCTGCATGTCCTTAAGTTACATATTATATTGTTTCAAAAGAAAGTCTTAATTGAAGTACTATATCTGAAGAATAATGTACTTATTTGGTGATTTGATATTGTAGCAATTTAGTTGATAATTCTGCATTATAGGAAGCATTAAATCAGCAACTATCAGAACTATGCCGTCGTCATGATGACTTAGATAAAGTGTGTGAGATGGTTAAAACCAGGCTGACGATTGCAGAAAGTGATCAGAACAAATTGGAAAATTCCAGGTCGGAGATAAGTTTTTACCATGTTATTTATGATAGACATGTGTGGGATTCAATGAAAGGTTAAATAGGATAACTATAACACCTAAAAAAAATGTGCTGTCTGCCTATATTGGCTTTAGCCACTAGAAAATAGACTAATAATATCACCACATGGGGAAGAGAGTCAGCAGATATTTTGAAATGATTATCTGGCTTTCTATTGGTGTTCTCATACGATATAATTGGATACAATAGTAGTATTTTGGGTGAAAATAAATAATTAATGTATTATATATATGTAAGAAATTTGATTCCACAGCTTTTTAGTCTCCAACTACCGGAAAATCAATAAATAGGGGTTTGTTTGTTGTCATGCATGTGTAATTAAGGGAAACTTTTACCTGAGATTTTATGTATATTTTCCTGTTTCAGAGAACTGTTCCAGATAGCAAAGGAGTTGACTGGAATCAGAATAGATTTTGCATTCTCTTCTGAACATCCCGATATTGCCAAGGGCTGTATCCTTTTTTTATTTTGTTATTTTTAAACAATAATAGAGGCGATGGCAACATTTTTTTGTAATTATAAGCTGGTTTGTCTTTTGCCAGCAAGGTTTATAGTAAGTCAGTCCTACCAGAATCAACATATTATCATCATTATAAAACTGAAGAGTTCGTTTGTTTGATCGCGATAATCCTGGTATACCAGGATTATCGCGATCAAACAATTTTTAATTCGAACTACTGATTGATGAAAAAAAAAATATTTTTTTACAACAATATGTTATAACATCACGCTGCAACCAATAGGAAGGTAGAAACAGTGGGAAATGTGGAAAGAGGGAAAACTATAATCTTTTTTAACTCCCATCTAAATTATTTCTAAAAATGTCCGCGACAGTATGTCTATCTTTTGAGTATAACTCGCAAGAACTACGGCAAGTGACCGACGTCGTGGAGAATAGCTATAATTTATAGAGCTGAGGATGTTGGCAAAACCAAATTTGACGACCAAAATAACTATTCTACAGGGACTAAGTGACTGGCACAGCTAGTTTAAAGTAACTCACAGGGGCAAATTATATGTTAACTGATATATTTCGCGTTTTAAACCATTATTTAAATGTGTACTACTCACGTAAACAGACACTGTTGAACCTCATCTAAAAAATCTGTTATTATTATTTTCTATTGGGGACACCTGTGGTAGAACGGGTGATCAGTTCACGTTATCAGCCGACCATTCCCCCATTTCCTCCTTGCAGAGGTTTTGGGTCAGATAAAATCTGTTACAATGTACTGAACAATGATCACCTTATGACACAATCAGATATAAAGAACCAAGCAAAACGTCTTTTGGAACCGTTCGAGATGAAACACAACAGTGATGCCTTGTGGGACCAAATTGCTACCATCTTTGATGTTAATGACAGTGAGAACCGTCCGCTCAACAGACAGTAGTTGTGTACACCTTCAAGCAGAGGCATATTTGATACCGTTAGAGACAGAGTAGCCTAACTGCAGTTTTTATGACTCTATATTTTCATAGTCTACAAAAGTGTATCTACAAGAGCACAGTGGCCGAATACATAATTATTATAATTTAAATAAATATTTGGTCACTGTGCTTTTGTAGATTATCATTTTAAAAATATAAATAAGTTACGGGATAAACAAAAAGCACTTAGGGCCACTCTGGCTCTCAGCACTATATTTTGATGAGCGTATTAGTCTAGGTAGCAATGTAGTAAATCATAGGGTCGTGAATTCGATCTTCACCATGTCCAACATATTTCTTGTCTGTTTATAATGTCAGAACATATTGGACTTCGTCCCGAAAACTGGAAATTAAATGGCAGCGATGATTGCGGATCAATTGTAATAAATTATTTGTGGATTTAATAAGTGTTGTATAGAAACTAAAATAAAAATAATATTTTTCTCAAAACCTAATTTTATTCCTAAGCATTAAAGAAGAGACTCTTTTCTTTCTTCGCCCTTTTCAACTTCTCCCTCTTCTTTCTCGTCTTTTCTGTGCTCTTTAGCAGTTTCAAAATGGCGTCTTCGTCCGTATCCACCGTGCTGCCCTCTAGCGAGGGCCGAAGTTTCTTCGCTTCTCCCGTTGCCAAGGGGTCCGGGTTCAATTTCTTACGCGGTCTTTCGCTGAAACAGATTTTAAAACATATTATATAGAAACAGAATTAAACGCGAGATTTTTTTATTATTTACCCGAAACGTCAGGCGGGTCGTTGGTAAATTAAGTTGATTTGTATTTTTCACGTTTTAAACCGTTAAATTGTTTAACTAAAATACATTGAAAAAATAAATTAATTAATATTTTTCAAGTTTTAAACCCTGACGGTTTATTAAAATAAGTTAAGTAATATAATAATGTTCTGTTTTAAACCGTTTAAGGTGTTTCATTTAAATGTGTACTAGCGTTGACGAGACAATACTTGACTTTATTTCTACTGTTCGTCTTTTCTATCATAATAAAAAAAAAACATCACTTCCCTACCTGATTGTCTCCATACTGTCAAATATCTCGTCTAAATCATCAGTCTCATCGACTTTAACTGTAACTTCCTCTTCTTCTTCCACTTTGATTTCACTTTCAGCTTTCTTCAGGGGAGTAGAGGTCGCCGTTTGTACTAGGACCCCGGTCAGTTTAGATGTTAAGTATTGCTAAAAAATATTCAAACATAATTAAAAGTCATAATATAATAAATGATAATTAATTTAAAATTAAAATTATGTGTGTGTTGTCAAACGACCTCTTATAACTGCTGAACCGATTTTGATAGATTGCTAAATGCAAATATATATAACTAAATCCAATTTATGATTTTAACATAATTAAATTTAAGTAAATTGAAAAATACTGTCTACAGTTTACGCGAGTAGTACACATTTAAATAAAACACTTTAACGGTATAAAACGCGATATATTAGTTACCTAATACTAGTTAACTGATATATCGCGTTTTAAACCGTTACAGTGTTTTATTTAAGTAAATTGAAAAGACAAAATAAATACGTATACAGGAATTACGTATTTTGATTTAGTTAAAAATGAATTAATAAACACTTTTAACAATATAAGTTTTACAAGATGCGTTTTAAAAGTTCCCCACTATTTCTCACCAAAACCTGATTTCCTTGTATGGTTCCACGTTGGTCGGTTAAAAATTTCCTCACTCTTAGCAGGACACAGTTCCTCCGACACTGAACATCATTATTAAGCAAGGCAAAATTATTCTAACTACGTTTCGGATGCTTTGCAAATGAGTTTAACTAGTATATTTTCCGTTTTAAACCCGTTAAAGTGTTTTATTTGAAGAGGTATGCTGTGTTTAATAGTGATGTTCACACTATTAAACAGTCACAGACACAGTAAAAATATAGAAACGTCTGCTGCTAGTGAGGGGTTGTTTAAATTTTTAAATAGTATTTAAGTGTTTATCTTTATTTATTTACACTTTATTGCACAAAAAAATATAAACTTATATACTAAACATATGAGGTGCCGCCCATTGCCTTATCGCTAACGAGCGATCTCTTCCAGGCAACCCAAGGAAAAAGTTTACGGGAAAACGAGATGTGCAAGGTGGGCGAAACAAAATTTACAATGTCAAATATAATCTTAAACATATCAAAATAAAACTTACACACAATTTCAAAACTTATCAACGGAAACTAAACTAAATGAAGGATTGCGCAACAATATTAATAGATAGTGACAATTTAATAATTGGGTAATTAAGTGACATTAAGTGCTTGTAGAGGAAGCTTTTTAAAGGATAGGAGGGATCTCTATCTGTGGTGGGAAGAAGAAGCTATAGCCATGCCCAAACACAAAGTCCACCGAGGGACCCAAATTACCTTATAAATACAGTTCTTGCTCTCTCGCTCGTGCACACGTAGATGCCTATCCAGACTTGCGCTGACGACCAGTCTGTCTCGCTCGCACAGCGCTACACTAGTTATCGCTCCGGCCGCGCCCTTGTAACCTTTGTCGAGGCGGGACTTCCTGAAGTCCACTTGGTGTAACTGCCCTCGCCCGAAGCCGACGAAAACTTGTCTAAAGAACACAGACATTTAAATAAAACACTTTAACGGTTTAAAACGCGAACATCGGCCCGACGTTTCGGATGCTTTGCAGCAGCCGTGGTGATGGGGAGAACACGTCAAAATCATTTTCAAATAAGTATAACTAATATATCGCGTTTTAAACGGTTAAAGTGTTTTATTTAAATGTGTACTACTCGCGTAAACTATAGACAGTAATATTTAATACAGACAATTAAAAATTAAGACACAGGCGGGAATTGAACCGGCATCCACAGCGTTCCGTGCTTTTACTCTAACCAAGTTGAGCTACCGAGTCCTACACGTCATCGTCAATTTTTTTCAAGCTACTCATATAGCACCTTTCGCATGCATATGCGGTATTAAGGTTGCGTAATTTCATTATTTATTATTTTTAAATGTATCTTAATAAAACGCCTTTACCGGTTTCAAAAAGAGAATATATTAAATACTGTCGATAGTTTACGCGAGTAGTACACATTTAAATAAAACACTTTAACGGTTTAAAACGCGATATATTAGTTCAACTTATTTGAAAATGATTTTTAACTTCGGCCCGACGTTTCGGCCCCGTGACCACGGCTGCTGCAAAGCAACCGAAACGTCGGGCCGAAGTTAAAAATCATTTTCAAATAAGTTTAGAGAATATATTAGTTAACAGATTTTTAATTTATTTGAAATACCGCCCGGATATTTCGGATGCTTTACGTAACAGCAGTCAACTGAACTATCTCCAGCGCCCTGACTGTGTCATGAATGACAGCCATTGATGGTACCCACTTAGAATTTAAATAAAACACTTAAAATGGATTAATACGCGAATTGTAAGAACCTAACGAACGAAGACCTAATTTTACTGGATATTAATAAGAATAAGAGGTCAAGAAAGAAGATCAATACCTCTCCTCAAATCCGTTGGTAATGCACGTCGCAGCCAAGCCAGGTGTGTCTATGCTAGACACGGGCCGGCGTTGTACTCGTGTGTCGTATAAACTGAAAAAGATAAAATCCAGCATTATTGACTTGTGGAGATTAAAAATACTATAACAGCTGTTCCAGAGGGGAATCCCCAAACATCAGTGCTGAGACAATAAAACCCATTTATAAATTTTATAAAATTTTGTAAATTTTTATAGTTCTGAAGTTAAAAGTAAATTGAAAAATTGATGGTGACATAATTGTGACATGGGGAACGTGGTAAATCACATTACACCCTTGGACTCGCCAAGGTGTCGACCAGAACCAACTAAAGACACCACTGGGTACGGTGCTTTTGACGTAGCCCTGGGATCACGTTTGTACGATCCCCAAGCTCCCAGAGGGAAAACACCTATTGACAAGCTCGTTGGCCTAATGTTATCAATGTACGGCTAATAATCAACGGGTCCCACATTTTTCTAATCAATTTTTAATTTTCCTTTTTGGACTTTGGAAATACTGGATATTAAAAAGGTGGTGGTGGTGGTGAAAATTGCATCAAAAATTCATCCAAGTCTAAAGGCGTTTCTGTTGCGGAAAGCGCATCTTTTATAAATGTTATGTGGTTGGGATATTCCACCATCAAGAGAATACCATGCTTGCCTATCCTTCTATATCATTAGAAAACAATCTAATCTGAATACTGTCTGTAATTTATGCATGTAGTACACATTTAAATAGAACACTCTAACTGCTTTAAACGCAATATCTATTGGTTTATTTCAACTAGGGCCCGACATTACGCATGCTTTGCAGCAGCGGTGGTTATTGGTGGTCTTTAGGTTTTAGACACAGGGAGAAGTTTAACTAATATATATCGCGTTTTAAACTATAAGGTGTTTCATTTAAAAACTAATCTGGCCTTTAGCTACAACAATAATACACAATGTCCTCACCGTATATATCCATGTCGGGAGCACACAGCTAAGAGGTTCTCTTCCAAAAATGTCAGGTCGGACACCCAAACTGGCCGCCTCAATTGCAACCAATCATGAGGTAGATTTTTAGCTATGAACGTTGGGGATGGCTCACCGACTTTCCATACTTTCAGTTCATTTTCTTCTCCACCTATGAATCATTTTTTTTTTTATTTTAGGAGTTTCTCTAAGTGTGTTTAAAGTGAGGGGAAGAGAAACTAAAAGTAATCAGTATTGGACCCAAAATCCTCTGTATGGAGGAAGTGGCAAAATTTTGTTTGTATGTTTGAACGCGCTAATCTCGGGAACTACTTGTTTAAATTAAAATGTTTGTGTTGGTTGAGCTATAAAACATATCGCTGTTAATAATAATAAGAGCAAAGAAACAGCGATACAGGCAAAGTCAGCGACAGTATATGTCTAACTTGTAAGATTAATTTAAATAAAACACTTTAACGGTTTAAAACGCGATATTTTAGTTAAACTTATTTGAAAATGATTTTTAACTTCGGTCCGACGTTTCGGATGCTTTGCAGCAGCCGTAGTCACGGGGAGACATCGGGCCGAAGTTAGAAATAATTTTCAAAATTTTAAAAATAAGTTTTACTAATATATCACGTTTTAAACCGTTAAAGTGTTTTATTTAAATTAATCTTACAAGTTAGACATATAGTGTCGCTGACTTTGCCTGTATCGCTGTTACAATGATAGGAATAGGTAGCGATCCCCTATGTCCGGAGTGCATGAGAAAGTGAGGTAACAAGCATCCATCTACTCACTGAATGCTCTGCATACTCAAGGCTAAGACAAATACATATGGGCTCGGATGAAGTTACAGTAGAAGACATTAAAGAACTACAGATGGAAAAAATAATAAGATTCTGCAAGAAAACCGGAAGGTTTGAAGGGGACACGGGAAGAGTTGGATGACCCAAATCTCTGCAAGGAGGAAATGGGGAAATGGGTGAAATCCTCCTGCCGAAGGTGTCCCCGATAGAAAATAAATAATAATAATAAATATATCACGTTTTAAACCGTTAAAGTATTTTATCTAAATGTGTACTACTCGGGTACACTATAGACAGTATTTGTAAGAAAAATTTTCAAGAACAACGGGACGCGGAGGACGTCGTGGGTAACAGGTTATTTTATAGAGTTGCAAAAACAAAAATTGATACCCAAAATAGCTATTCTACCCATACAAAGTCGCTGACGCAGCAAGCCTTCTATTGGTGTCTCTAATACAAAATAATAATTATGATAGAAAGAAATGTTGCCTTACCAGTAGCAAAAACATTACTGTGTTGCCAAACCCTTAGGCAATCCAGTTTCCCTTTTGTTTCAATTACATCGGGGTTCTCGATTGCCCTATCACTTTCTGACCAAATTTGCACTACGCCACTGGCAACACCGGCTATTATTCTGCTATCACATCTGGCTACACCAATTATGTTTCCCTCGCCAAAAGTTGCAGTGTATGATTTTGTTAAACCTTTTTCTGTGTTATATGATTCTATCTGAAAATATTTTTATATTATATTATATATAGCTATACATTTAAACCTCAAATCTACAGGTGTACTACACACTAACAGAGGGCCAGGTGCTATGTCTACATTTCCAGGGATACCTCAAAGCACTGTAGAGGGCTGGTGGTGTATTTAGTGGTTCTGGTCATCTAGTCTGGATTTACCACAGTCCCCATGTCACTATTGTCCGACGTGGGCGTGCATTCGGCATTCACACCATCATTAAAAAAAAGTTGCTATGTCCACATTAGATGCTGACTATTTAATAGGCAAAAATACAAACCTGTCTATTCTTCCTTGCTAAAAGTATTTCGGTTTGTTTGTCATCACCCCAATCCATATGTAGTATGGAATCGTCTTTCTTTAAAGATTTTATGTCCACTAAGTTTTCTATACATTTCTTACTATTCTTGCTGGCATTTGTATGGTATTTTACGTCTGTAACAAAATGTTTAAATAAGCGTTAAGGACATTAAACTATTGTATTTAAATAATATTTATGTTAAAATACAATCTCGCTCTGCAAAATTAGTATACCTAGACTTGATTAATACAATTGACTGGTTATGTTTGAACTTAAATATTAAAGTACATACGTTTGAAAGAACCAATACGGCTAGCGACGAAAAGATCTATTTCTTTATCCTCTGTAAGCAACATTTTAACAATAAAATCATAACATTAAAATAATGTGTTGCACTTTTGTTTGGTTAATTCGAACAAACATATAGTCAATAATCCACGTGAAAATGAAATCTTAAAATTGTCTTTGACACTTGACATATGACAACTCGCTAAGAGTGACGTTGACATAAACAGTTGAAAACATGGATAAGTATTTATAACACAGATGAAACGAAATGGTACAATAATTATTATCTGAGAACTATTTATAATTTTTACAAAACACTTTACAGTTCAATCTAAATAAAGTTTATATTTATACATACAATCCTGCAAAGTATCCAAAACGTCGGGTCGTAGCTATCATAAATTTAATTAGATATTTCGCATTTAAACCGTTAAAAGTGTTTTAGTTATAGATATATGGGTATTTTATGACAGAAATAAATGTGGGTGATTAGAAACAGCCATTTACAACTGTTTCTAATCACCCAGCATAAAGATATAGCATATAGGATTTTACGACTAACGTGTTTATGACGAATCTTTTTACGGTCCTTTGAAATGAGCAAATAAATTCACATTATTGATAACAGTATCCGATAACAAATTACCTAGGGGCTGTTTATGAAGGTTTTTATGTAAGAACCGCGCTTGAGTTTCGTTTAATATTTACATTTGAATAAATAAGATCTTGTTTTCGCGGAGTGTATGAAATAGAACTCGAAGAAGCCACATTTACATAAAGCGATAAGCGCGAATGTTTTTTTTATAATAGAGGAGAGATAAGCACGCGGTTCACTTTTTAGGCTTTTGGAAGTTTAAACATCGCCAAGCTAAAATCGAAACGCGATTAACCTTGTAACTAATATCCATATTTTCAGACGAAGTCCATATGTTTCAGGAAACTTATAAATTGATTAAAAACACGACATCGAAGCCACGGCCCATAGATTATGCTCATTGATGTAATGCTACCATTACATCAATGAGCCTATGAAATGAAATAACAACGCTCTTCATTACCTACCCTCATACAAATCATTAAGACGTTAACGATTCTTGAACGGTTTAAAACGTGAAATACATAACTATACTTATATACTGCCTATAGTTTACGCGAGTAGTGCAAATTTAAATAAAGCCGTGGTAACGGGGAGTCTGCCGCCGCATCCGAAACGTCGGGCCAAATAAGTTTAACTAATATATCGCGTTTTAAACCGTTAAAGTGTTTTATTTAAATATAACTATACTTATTTACAATTAGTTTAAACTAATCCGTCTCGCTTTTGAAAGGTTTCAAAAAAATTTTTTATTTACATGCGAACTACTTGCATGAAACCGCCTCAGCCTCTCCTCTCTCATTCTGTTAAGCGCCTTCCTGAGTTCGTATTCCAGGGAATCACAAATGTTTCGGTCGGGCAGGGCACAGAAGTCTGATCAACTACTTACCTAAAGAACAGCTCAGTGAAACGGACACAGAAATGTGTTCGCCACATACACTTTCATAAACCACAGACAATCTTAATTTCGTTTTCACATAGTATTTACGTTGTATTGTGTGCTTTTCAATTCTCTCTGTAATTAAGTACTTTGTAGTGGCCAAATTTTATTTTATTATTGTAGTCTTATGCCAACGTTTTTAGAACTATAGCACTGTTGAATTTCGGTCCAATTAAAAATCTATTTAAATTGTACAATTTTAACGACACGGGCAGGACTTGAGCCGGGACCGACGTTCCGTCTGTATCTAAACAATTGAATTGGTAGAGCAACAGCACGGAACGTTGACGAAGCCGATCATGTCCTGCTCGAGTCGAAATTTTTTTTTTCGTTATTTATTAGATTATATCCCCTTTTCGAGGCGAATTATTTTATTCGTACTACTTTGAGCAAATTTGATGTTAAAAATCATTTTCAAATAAGTTTAACTAATATATCGCGTTTTAAACCATTAAAGTATTGTATTCATTTGAATTAATTTAACTATGGCCCGTCGCTTCCGATCCTTTGCAGCGACAATAGTTACGGAGAAAGCCCGTTAAAATAAAATTTTAATAAGTTAAATAATATAACTCACGTTTTAAACTGTTAAAGTGTTTTATTTCAATTTGTACTACTCGCCTAAACTACAGACAGTATATAAGATGAACATATTATGTAAAAAAAATATTTAAATACATGTGGCCCCCATTGCTACCATTACCATACCATACCAACAAGACCGTCATAGTTTTTCAACCATACAGCATACCTCCGAATATGTTTCTTTTAAATTTTGACAAGTTATTCCAAATATGAATCTCTACAACATCACTACATAGTATTAAAACAAAGTCGCTTTTTCTGCCCCTATGTGCGCTTCAATCTTAAAAACTACGCAACGGATGTTGATGCGATTTTTAATAGACAGAGTGGTTCAAGATGAAGGTTTTTATATACAATGTTCACAGATTTCCTGTAGTATATCAGCAGTGCACCCAAGCGAAGCCGGGTGCACTGCTATCGCTAGCTGCTGTCGCTAGCTGCTGTCGCTAGCTGCTGTCGCTAGCTGCTGTCGCTAGCTGCTGTCGCTAGCTGCTGTCGCTAGCTGCTGTCGCTAGCTGCTGTCGCTAGCTGCTGTCGCTAGCTGCTGTCGCTAGCTGCAACTTAGTTGCTTCGCTAGCTGCTATCGCTAGCTGCTACCCTTAGTTGCTAACGCTAGCTGCTATCGCTAGGCTATCGCCAGCCGCTGTCGCTAGCCGCTGTCGCTAGCCGCTGTCGCTAGCCGCTGTCGCTAGCCGCTGTCGCTAGCCCTTCGCTAGCTGCTGTCGCTAGCCGCTGTCGCTAGCTGCTGTCCTTACCGCTGTTGCTATGCTGTCGCTAGCTGCTATCGCTAGCTGCTACCCTTAGTTGCTGTCGCTAGCTGCTATCGCCAGCCGCTGTCGCTAGCCGCTGTCGCTAGCCGCTGTCGCTAGCCGCTGTCGCCAGCTGCTGTCGCTAGTTAATAATAGATTCGCTGCCTACACAATTGTTGAGGGATTTAAATCAAATTTGATTCAAGCTATTTATAATCTTCTTTGAACGGTGGCCACGGCTAAGTGGGTGCCCCAGTATTGTGAGGGGGTCCTGAGTTCGAATCCCAGGCAGACAATAAAAACTCGCTTTAGTTGGACAGGGCAGCTTGCTGTTGCTAGCCGCTGTCACTAGCTGCTGTCGCTAGCCGCTGTCGCTACTAGCTGTCGCTAGCCGCTGTCGCTAGCTGCTGTCGCTAGTTGCTGTCGCTAGCCGCTGTCGCTAGCCGCTGTCGCTAGCCGCTGTCGCCAGCCGCTGTCGCCAGCCGCTGTCGCCAGCCGCTGTCGCCAGCCGCTGTCGCCAGCCGCTGTCGCCAGCCGCTGTCGCCAGCCGCTGTCGCCAGCTGCTGTCGCTAGCTGCTATCGCTAGCCGCTGTCGCCAGCCGCTGTCGCTAGCTGCTGTCGCTAGTTGCTGTCGCTAGCCGCTGTCGCTAGCCGCTATCGCTAGCCGCTGTCGCTAGCCGCTGTCGCCAGCCGCTGTCGCCAGCCGCTGTCGCCAGCCGCTGTCGCTAGCTGCTATCGCTAGTTGCTGTCGCTAGCCGCTGTCGCTAGCCGCTGTCGCTAGCCGCTATCGCTAGCTGCTGTCGCCAGCCGCTGTCGCCAGCCGCTGTCGCCAGCCGCTGTCGCCAGCCGCTGTCGCCAGCCGCTGTCGCCAGCCGCTGTCGCCAGCCGCTGTCGCCAGCCGCTGTCGCCAGCCGCTGTCGCCAGCCGCTGTCGCACACGCTATCGCTAGCTGCTAACCTTAGTTGCTGTCGCTAGCTGCTATCGCCAGCCGCTGTCGCTAGCCGCTGTCGCTAGCCGCTGTCGCCAGCCGCTGTCGCTAGCTGCTGTCGCCAGCTGTGTCGCTAGTTAATAATAGATTCGCTGCCTACGACAATTGTTGAGGGATTTAAATCAAATTTGATTCAAGCTATTTATAATCTTCTTTGAACGTGCCACGGCTAAGTGGTGCGCAGTATTGCTGAGGTCCTGAGTTCGAATCCCAGGAAAAAATAAAATTGCTTTAGTTTGGACAAGGCACAGAAGTCTGCTCAACTTTTTATTTACTTCTTAATATTGTTTATTTGATTAGGTTATAAGTAAATTTGTTCCTGAAAATACGAATGTCTGTGGGTTACGCGTTACTAGTTTACGAACATACTTTTAGATTTTTTTTTTTTTTTTTAAACAATATAACGGTTTAAAACGCCATGTTTATAGGTAAACTTATTTCGAAATTATTTCGGATGCCTTGCAGCAGCTGTGGCCACGGAGAGACATAAAATAATCTCCAAATGAGTTTAACTAATATATATCGCGTTTAAACGTTATATTTTCTTATTTAAAAAGTGTTATATTCTTCCATCAATAATTTTCACTGCGACACGACTTTTAGTATAAATTTTTAAGTTCCTGGAAAATACAATATATATTAATTATATCGTTATTTCTTTATAACACCGTTATGGCCATTTTTTTTTATTTAAAAATTGTTATTCACTTGTAGATAACGCTTGAACCATTATACTTTTCACATATTAATAAGAGTTAAAAGAATTCCGTACACAGTTAAAATAAATATTGTAACCTTTTCCTTGATTAAACAAGTCACTTTAACGGTTTAAAACGTGATTAATATTTGTTAAACTTATTAGAACATTATTTTTTGGCTGCTGCAAAGCATTTGAAACGTCGGGCTCTAGTTAAAATACCTTTCAAATAAGTTTAATTATGTAGTGTATTTAAAAAAAGATTTATTGAATTAAAATAGGAATAGGTATTTATTTTTTATTGCTCAAAAAATAATATTGATACCATAAAACTTATATGCTAGAATCGAGTACAACGGGCGGCCTTATCGCTAGCCAGCGATCTCTTCCAGGCAACATAACATGTGTGAATTATACACGAAAAACCACATCAAAGACATAAACCGGGCCCACGGCTGATTGATTTCCTAAGTCCCTATTGTAATGGTAAAAAGGAGCCTTGTGGGGGAAGGAGAACACTGCGGAAAAGGGGGGGACACGCCGTTCAAATGTCAGAGATAAATAGGCGCTAGGAGGAGATGATTTGTCTTGTTATCGATCTATTGAATGATCTTTCGCTGAAAAAAATGTTTGAAAGCGTTAAGCTGTATGGTTGAAAAACTATGACGGTCTTGTTGGTATGATGAGCGCTCTGGGAGGTGATCTAATCTACTCTGATGGTGAGTCTAATCCCAGAGCGTGCATCTATGTGAGCAACAGGGCGAGATCGCTAGAACTCATAAAGTCTGACTGTTACAGAGACTTAGCGAGTGTAGAACTAACCATTCAAGCCTGCAACGGAGATAAGGAGAGAATACTCATAGTCTGTGCCTATCTTCCGAGTGAAATAGCCTTCGAGCCGCCAACAAGGGAGCTTGAGGAAGTAACAAGGAAATATCAAGGTAAGAACATTCCGATTATTATAGGATGTGATGCCAATGCCCACCATATAGCATGGGGCAGCACTCACTGCAATAAAAAGGGTGATTTATTACTAGATTTTCTAGGTAGCGCAGGCCTTGGAGTAATAAACGAAGGTACAACACCAACGTTTGTAACTCGAACCAGAATACTCAAGCCGAGAACTCTAACCCATCCTTTCCCATCCAATGGTGACGCTGCGATTGGGGCCGTCCTAGCAGCAGATGCAGGGAAGATCCGGGGATGCAGAACACCAATATCCCATCACTCCCACAATCACCAACTCTTACCGGCAGCCCCAGAAATTAAAAAAAATGAACAACAACAAAGTAATGCAATACGGTCCAAAGGGAGGTCCCGGCTCAGCTGGGGAATCCTCCGTGGTGTCACCAGTGGAGGGACGCGAGAGTCCCACCACTGGTAACACCACCTGCTCCGCGTACTATGTGCTTTATTTACATCTATCAAGTTTCATTACAACTAAGTTAAATCGTTGGGGATAGGACAGACACATTTCTGTGTCCGTTGTACTGATCTATTTTATTGATAATTATTTGATCAAACTTCTGCACCCCTGCACCGGGAAAAAATAAATATTTTTTCCGGGATACGATCCTAGAACCACTCGTGCTTTATGCAATAACACATAGCCAATAGCGTTTATTTACCAAGCTGCAGAGCCTGAATTTACAATTAATTCTAAAAGCTATCGTGCAAAACCACTAGCAAATAGTTAATATAATTCGAGCTCAATTTTGAGCTAGCTAACATCAATTTAAACTCAAGTACGATGCATCGGTCGTGTTAATAATTAATTTCACTTTGCGCTATCGAATAAGATAGCTAAAATTCACTAAAACGTTGCATTTTAGTGTTTACCGCACGCTTGTGAAAATTTGTTGGGTTGGTCTACTAAATAAAACACTTGTCAAGATGTTGAGATTTGCTAACCTGTTCGTACTAAGTTAAGTTATATATTTCATGTTTTAAACTGTTACAAGTATTTCATTTAAATGTGTGAATTCGCGTAAACGAAATACAGTATTTGAGCAAGTATCTTATTACCTAATATTGTTTGATAACCTTTTCTTTATTTTTTTTTATCGTTCCTATTTATTTATTCATTTATACATAACGCATTTCCAGCAAGAGCCAAAACATGCAGTATGGGAAATTAGCTAGAAATCTTATGTAAGAAATATAAGCATCTAGATTTGAAAGACATTAAATATATCATGTGCGCTAGTTACTGCTAGGAAAACTAGCTATCTCTCTTTCCAAATGGTATATCTATACTAATATATAAATATGAAGAGTTAGTTTGTTTATTTGAACGCGCTAATCCCAGGAACTACGGATTCGATCTTTTTTTTGTTGGTTATAGCATTTACCGAGGAAGGCTACAAAAAACATCACGTATTTAATGCAAGCGAAGATACAGCGAGATATATCAAAAAAATTGGGGAAATCATTCACCGTTATGGGTTTACATACCACAGAATATATATGAAAGAATGCTTCCTCTTTAAATGATGTTGAAAAAAGTCCCCGACGTTATATGTCTATCTTTTAAGATTAACTTGCAAGAACGGCGGGAAGGGACGCGACCGACGTCGTGGGTAACAGCCTAAGTTTATAAAGATGAAGGAGTTTGCAAAAACATATATTTGGATGCCCAAAATGAATATTCTTAGCGGACGAAGTCGCTGAAACAGCTAGTATATTAGAACCCTCACTATTATTGCACACCTCACTATGATTATTAATTATTTTTTACTGATATATTCACAAAATATAAAGTTGTATTTTGATTAGCATAACAAATAAAATATTTAAGATTATTTAAATAAAACACTTTAACGGTTTAAAACGCGATATATGCTTTGCAGCCGTGGGAAGCATCCAAAACGTCGGGCCGAAGTAAAAATAATTTTTTAAATAACTGTATCTAATGTCAATCGTTTTAAACCGTTAAAGTGTTTTATTTAAATGTGTACTACTTGCATAAACTACAGACGTAATTTAAATTTAAGATTAAATATGACCTTTAAATATCTTAAACGTGGTCATCATTAAAAGACGATGGCTATTTTAAGTAGTGATTGTAGTTTACGAGAGTAGTACACGTAAATATTAAACATGTTTGAACATGAATAGAATAGCTAATTTATTGTTTCTATGGCCGCCCGATTTTTTCATTTTGTTTCTACAGATGAACCTGTCACGGTCGAGTCTATACTAATATATAAAGCTGAAGAGTTTGTTTGAACGCGCTAATCTCAGGAACTACTGATTCAAATAAAAAAAAAACCGTTGTGTTGTTGTTGTGTTGGCTAGAGCATTTATCGGTGAAGGATATAGGATAAACAACATCACGCTGTGACTAATAGGAGAATTGTAAAAAATCGAAGAAAATTTGTGGAAATCAACTTTGTGGGTTTCTATTGTGTACGCTGAGAAAATGGTTCAAGACACCCAAAATATATGTATGAAAGAAGTATCCCTCTTTAAATTAAATTTAGACACTATCACTCTTATTACAAAACAAGGACTAACTCTGACACCTGGTTTAAATCATGGTTTATTTGAAATTCTTATTACAAAACGAAGCATAACGTTTGTACTGGACTAAGTATGGCACCAACATCATTTATTTAAAACATGGTTTATTTGAAATTCTTATTACATAACGAAGCTCAACGTTTGTACTGGACTGAGTATAGCACTAACATCATTTATTTAAACCATGGTTTAAGAGTTAAACCAAGACTCCGCAGTTCTGGTTTAAACCTGGTGAAGTATTTTTTTGTAATAAGGCCGTATATGTCTATCTTATAAGATTAACTTGCAAAAACGACAGGACGTAGACGACGTTGGTAACAGCTATGATGTATTATAAAACAAGTTTTGATGTCCAAAATAACTATTCTACGCGGACGAAGTCGCTAGCGCAGCTAGTTGAATAGTAATTTTCAATCAAATTAATTCAATGCACGATACCCGAGTCATCGCGTTGCGCAAATTAATTTCGAACTTCCAAATTTCTCAAAGAGATGCCGATTCCTACAACCGTTGGCCCCTTTGCGCCCCCAAGCGTTTTCTATACAAACGTTACCTTCCTTCCTTTGAGGGCTCATCACAAAGTAGGCACAAAAGTAACTTTCACTTTTATTAATTTGCCCACCTCACTCTTGTAATAAAAAAACACAACTTTTTTTGACAGAAAAAGGCAGACAATCATTAGATTAACCAACTACAGACAATTAAATAAAACACTTTAACGGTTTAAAACGCGATATATTAGTTAAACTTATTTGAAAGTGGCCAGTGCCGTGGTCTCCCCGTGATCACGGCTGGTGCAAAGCATCTGAAACATCGGGCCGAAGTTAAAAATAATTTTCAAATAAGTTTAAATAATGTATCGGGTTTTAAACCGTTAAAGTGTTTTATTTAAATGTGTACTACTCGTTTAAATTATAGACAGTATTTAACTACAGACGATACATAAGTATATTTTATCTATCTATACTAATATATAAAGCTGAAGGGTTTGTTTGGTTGAACGCGCTAATCTCAAGAACTATTGATTCGAATTGAACATTTATTTTTTTGTTGTCTATCGTTAAAATGAACTCGCAAGAGCGATGGGACACCTCCGATAACTATTCTACGCGGACGTTGTCGCTGACTCAGCTAGTATTATATATAATATAATCGCTAGCGACCCTAAGCCAAGGATGGCTTAGCTTCGGGTTTCAAATTTAATATAACTATTGAAATATCCTTCACTTTTCAATCCGTCAAAACTAGCCTTATTAATTTATACTTAGCACTCACAACATCAAAAACCACAATACTTTCTACACTCGCAACATCAGACAATTTGAAAATATCAACATTTTATTCACGATGTTAATAAGAAAAATTCAACCTAATACCTACATACATCTCTCGCGTAATGTAATTTCAGCCTTAACTTATTTCTCATACAAAAAAACTTCAGAACATTTTTTGCTCACATTCATTTATATCAAACCAGCCCTTATATAAGACGAATTTTAATCATTCACACGTAGCCACTCATCCAAATCGTTCGCCGTTCATCGTTCGTTATAATGAACGAAAGAGTGATTTGCGCGAATGACAAATGAACGATGTTCGTGTCTAAGCGATTTCTTGGCCGAGCCATTACGGACGGATTATTTCAAATTAGTCCAAATCCGTTTACACTTGGGTTTTATAAGAAACACATGTTTTTTCACATATTGAACGCGTCTACAATTTACGCGAAATAAAACGCTTTTGACGGTTCGAAACGTGAAATTAAAATGGGTTGGATACATTTCGCGTTTTAAACAGTCAAAAGCGTTTTATTTAAAAGGAAATCGTTGGTTGCGTTACATAGCATTATAATTAAGGGGCCGTCAGTTCGATGCCCAATAGGTATATATTCTCATATTTTATTTTTATAAGTATAATTTTATATTTGGTTTAACTTTGAATTAGCTTATTGTTTTATTAAACTCACACATTTCAGTTAAAGTTTTATTATATAGTCTAAATATAATTATTAAAAAAATTAACTTAATACTGTCTGTACGCCAGTAGTATATATTTATATAAAATTATTTGAACGATTTAAAACGCAAAATGTATTTATTTCAAAGATCTAATTACATATTAAAGCAAATATCCATTGTCCGCAATAAAATCTGATCCAGTGATGCCGATTGCTTTATCGCTGGCTAAAAATAAGACAGTAAAAGCAACTTCCTCAGATTTCGATACGCGCTTAAGCGGTAGCTGTTTAGCTACATCATCGTAATATGCATCAGGAAACCCGGCGTTTTCCATGAAGTCAGTTATAACTGGACCGGGGCTGATACTGTTAACACGAACGCCCTCAGCAGCCAACTCCTTAGCTGCACATCTGGTGAAATGGTTCAATGCGGCTTTGGACACGCAGTACGGGGTACCGCCGATGATTCGCGTCGCGGAACTGCCGCCGACGCTTGAAATATTTATGATGTTTCCTTTAGTTTTCACTAGATGGCGTGCAGCAAGAGTTGTCACGTTGACATGTGCGCGAACGTTCACATTCATTGTTTTGTCATAAGCGGCGACCATGTTTCCCTCCAACACGGACCCGGTGTATATCAATCCTGCATTGTTCACCAGGACATCTAATCTGCCGTATTCCTCAATGACTTGATCCACCATCGTTTTCGCTTCATCGTCAACGCCTATATCGGCTTTAATAAGCAACGGCTGTCGTCCATACTTGGCACACTCTGCAGCAACCTTTTGCAGCTTCTCCGTGTTTCTCCCGACGATGACTACGTTTGCATCTTCTTTTGCGAATTCGATTGCTGTAGCGGCACCAATACCTGAACTGGCGCCAGTTATTAGCACGACCTTATCTTTGAAACTCATTCTTACATCTGAGTAGATTGTTCTAGAGAATGCGCTTGCGCACAGTAAAGGAAATAAATGCATACTAATATATAAAGATGAAGAGTTGTTTGTTTGAACGCGCTAAATCTGAGAAACTACAGGTTCGAATTGTAAAAAAAAAAAATGTGTTGGTTAGAGCATTTATCTAGGAAGCCTTCAGGCTACTCAAAATCACTGTGACTAATAGGAGCGAGTAATAAAAGAAAATTTGGAAAAAAAAACAGGAAAAAATATTCATATTTGAGGGAGTTTGAAGATACACAAACATATGCATAAAATAATGATTCCTCTTAATTTATTTCGATTTTCGATTATTCGACGAAGTCGCTGGCACAGCTAGTAAATTATAAACTGTAATGTTGTTATCGCTTTAAGTGCAATATAATGATACGTTTAGATAACGTGCGTAATTACAAGTTAAATGTTCATATGGAAGCGTATTTCAAACCAAACAAAATTTATTTATAGAGTTTTATACTTATCCACGTTTAGAAGATACTATCCAATAATTAAAAGGAATGATTTTATAATAGTCTCAAAAATGTTACATTGTTTGCGTATTGCTGCTATTATACTTTTAAATAAAAAACGGTTTAAAACGCGATTTGAATATGTTAAACTAATTTGTAAATTATCTTAACTACGGCACGACGTTTCGGCTATAATACTTCTGGCAGGTTATAAATGCGTTTAGAATTTAAAAAAAATATGGCCATGAACAAAATGGCAGATTTAATAAATTTTATGATGAAAAAAAATATGAATTATCTTTATTAGCTCAAAACGTAAATAATCAAATCCAGTAAAAAACCTTAATAGCTTCTAACATAGATTTATGCACACAAAAAACTCAGAAACAATGATTGTCGTGTGAAAAAAATAATGGTTGAACACGTGAAACAAATACGTGTCACAGAATCTATACTAATATATAAAGCTGAAGAGTTTGTTAGTGTATTTGAACGCGCTAATCTAAAGAACTACTGGTTCGAATTGGTTTAGAGCATTAATCGAGCAAGGCTAAGACATTGCGATGTGACTAATACAAGCGATGATAGAGCGAGAGATGGGGAAAAAAAATATTATTAATTAAGGATTTCTGAGGCGTATGCTACAAAAACTGTTCAAGATACCTAAAAAATATATGTATATATCTAATATATAAAATTCTCGTGTCACGGTGTTCGAGCTTGAACTCCTCCGAAACGGCTCGACCGATTTTCACCAAATTTCATATGTGTATTCAATAGGTCTGAGAATAGGACAACATCTATTTTTCATTCCCCTAAGTGATAAGGGTGGTTCACCCTTAATTTTTTTTTAATTTATGAACAAAATTTTTAATTTCATTTTTTTTATGATACAACATACAAAAATACATACAATCCTCAATTTTCACCCTTCTACGATCAACCCTTATTTCTTAATAGCCGGCTCAGCTAGTATATATATACGTGTATACGGATATTTTTTTATTATTTGAAGAAGGATAATTTTTTCATATATATTTATTGATTTTCACTTATGTGCATGGTTTACACAGTCATTTGATTGGGTAAATTATTTAAATTATTAAGTCAAACTTTAAAAACATACTTAGTATTGTATAAACTTATTATAGCTGTAGTGTTACCCTTATTATTATCATGTATTATTGTAAATCTCCATTTTCAAGGTTGCCTGGAAGAAATCGTTTTTAGCGATAAGGCCGCCTTTTCTCGCTACTTTTTGTTCATTTTTTAAATAAGTTTGTTTTGTAACGTTGTGGTGAAAATAAAGTATTTTTTGTTTTGTTTGATTGTTTGTTTGGTTCCTTGAACCGTTTTCGCAGTGCAAGCAGCGGGATATCTCAAAGATTACCTTATTCCACTTTATTCTACATTCCCCACCGTTTTTCTCTCATATCGACAGTGTAATGTTAAAAAAAAACTAACTTTCCTCGATAAATGGTCTGATTACCACAAAAATATTTTTTCCATTCGAACCAGTAGTTCCTCAAAATAGCGCGTCAAAACAAACAAAGCATTTTATAATTAGTATAGATTTTACCGGGTTTCGAACACCTTCCAATTCGCGCTTATTATATTTGTTATCTCATTTAACAGCTTCGTTGCGGTGTCGTCGTAAACATTTTACGTTGCAGTGACAATATTTTTTACGATAGATATTACAGGCCGGTTTTAATCTCTATGTATTATGTTTTTTTCTCAATTACACAAACTATTAATAATAATAATTCGTCTTTCCTTCGGGCCGTAGTTAAAATAATTTAAATAAATCACTGTTTCGGTTTAAAACGCGATATATTAGTTGATTTCTAACTTCGGCCCGTCGTTTCTAATATATCGCGTTTTAAACCGTTAAAGTGGTTTATTCAAAATGCTTAGGTACTACTCGCGTAAACTATACACAGTGTTTAATTTTCAAATAAGTGTAACTAATGTATATCGCATTTTATTTGACCGCCTCCGTAGCCATTGGTTAAACGTGTCCCGTCGTGTCGTTCAAGTTAAACTTACAAGATAGACATATACCGTCGCGGACATTTTTTTAGATGATTTTAAGAGGAATCATTCTCTCATACATATTTTTTGGGTATCTTGAACCGTTCGCAGCGTACCTCGGAAACCCATAATGACGAATAATTTTCCTATTTTTTTTCTAATTTCTGGCTGTATCTTAG